ATCATAGGAAAAAAGCTAAAAATAAGTATTTTTCTATAAAGTTACATAACTGTACTACCATAATTATATTTCATAAGAGATGTTAAACAACATTGCTGAGGATTCAACCGACTTACGCTCAGCTCTCTTGTACTCAATATTCTTATGTACTCTGTCTTGTACTCAATTGATTTTAATGAACTCTGCCTTGTTACACACAACCCTCATGCAAGCAACCCTTATGTACTAATCTCTTTTGCTCTTAGTCCTTATGCAATCAACTTGCATTAATTTATTCCTCATGCAGTGAACCCTCATGTTCTTAATTCTTGCTCTCGGCCATCATGCAATCAACTTGCACTTATTCCAATCAACCCTCATGTACTAAGTACATGTAGCTCTCTTGCCCTCATGCAGTCAACTCTCATGTACTAAGTACTTATAGCTCTCTTGCCCTCATGCAGTTAACCCTCATGTTCTTAATTCTTGCTCTCGGCCATCATGCAATCAACTTGCACTTATTCCAATCAACCCTCATGTACTAAGTACATGTAGCTCTCTTGCCCTTATGCAGTCAACCCTCATTTACTAAGTACTTATAGCTCTCTTGCCCTCATGCAGTCAACCTTCATGTAACTCTCTAGCCCCTCATGTACTGAGTACTTATAGCTCTCTTGCCCTCATGCTGTCAACCCTCATGTACTAAGTACTTACAGCTCTCTTGCCCTCATGCTGTCAACCTTCATGTACTAAGTACTTATAGCTCTCTTGCCCCCATTGTACTCAGTCCACTGGCATTCAAACTTTAAGTATCCTGTCCTTGTGGATGCACTCCTGATGTAGTCAACCATTTAGTTCTCAGTTCTCATGCACTCTAAGTTCTTGTATTGTGTTGATGTATGTTTTATAATACAAAATTGAAGACCCTATTATAATACAGACCTATTATCTTTCAAACTTCATTAATAAGTGAAAAATAATTATGTGTTTGCATTTGTTTATAAATTGATACCCATAAGGAAAGATTTCTAAAAAAGGAGTGTTTGGTTGTTTCCTTTTGTTGCTTTAGTTAATATATTATATACATGTATATTAAATGTGCATGCATTTTTAAAAAAAAAACAGAAAAAGAATTAAAATCTATAGGTTTATACTTATTAATCTAGCAGTTTGTAATCTCTTTTGAAAGCGCTTTTTTTTTTCGTATTGTTCATTTATTTTCTGTAGGATAGAACTAAATTGACGTTACATCTATATTTCCCCAGAAAAATGGAGGCTCAATATGTAACACTGTTGTTACACAGGAATAATTCCATTCATTTATTAGTCTGGCTTGTATTCCCATGGGCGTCACCAAAATCTTTCTTCTGCATTAAAACAAGTTCATCTGAAAATAAAAACAAAGAAATGATGTGACGTTTTATGGCAGAAATATAGATGCAATATGGAGAGAATGCCGGAGAAAAAAAGCCGCTTTTGGTCTGTGACCGATTTTAATCAATATATAAGTGTTAAAATTGATAGAAACTTACATTTGTCAAAACCGGAATGAAATATGAAGAAAACTTGACAGTTTTTGGTCGATTCATCAGAAATAAGTGAATTAGGAGAGATATTTGATGTATTTGTCAGTTCGTCCTGGGAGAGCTTATAATATTCTCTTAAAGTATAAATATATAGATATATACATATTATAAACATGTAGAGCAGTTGTTTTTCAGTATATTTAAAGGAACGGTGAAATGCAGGTTTGCGGCGTAATTTCATATAGATATAACCGCATACGGGTAAAAGAGAAGTAATAAGTTCCAAACAGAATATTTATATCAAATGAAAATTTTGACATTTGTATACTTTTTCAAAAAATAGACAACAAATTTGCTAATTTCAATACTTTTGGGTTTGCTGGGAGTGGTTTTTGCTGCAAGTTTGAGTCTCTAATTCAGTGTAAAAGAACAGGAGCCAGTTACCCCATTCTTTGTGCCTACAGTTATAACGAACTAGTAATCCATGCCTCTCTTCAATAGCTTTACTGTGTTTAATTAATCTCATATATGTTCATGTATGTTTGAATTTAAATATGTGGACTTATGCAGCACTGTTTGACAGTCTCTATTAAAAGCTAGACTGAGTCAGTAATGAGGCGACTTAAAAACAAAAATACCCAAATGTTTTGTAAAGGACTAACTTTAACTTATACACAGAAGGTGTCATAAATATTTTTGTAAATTTTCACATGTCAAAAAATGTCCTCTGACTACCAATTATAACTCCCCCAATTATCCCACGAAGAAAAAAAAAACAACAAGTAGCCACAGCTTAATCCTGTAGATGAAATTCCTCGATTCTCATTATTTAAGTTAACTAGTCTAATTATAAATCTAGCGATACACAGGAAAAATTAACTTGAGTTAATTCACTCCTGACATCATTCGGGCGCCTGTCACATGATCTAATTAAAATCAATAATAATTAGCGTGTTCAGCTAACTATTGTTTAGTTTTTCCGAAAACCTTTCATTTACAATGGTAGTCACCCGAATGACCTGTAAATTATTATATATTGACTTGGAGTGGATAAATGGCAATTTGCATTTTTTCTAAGTCTCCTCTATGATTGCGTTCAATGGGGTGTAAAAATAATTGCTGGTGCACACTTTTGACTGAGATTTACTCAAAACATATGTCATATTGGAGACCACTTGTTGAAAGATTAGGAAAGGAAAAACATTGTGATTGAGAAAATAAAAAAATAGAAAAAAATTGAGGAAAAGAAATGAAATAAAAAAATTATGGATAAGTTTTCAAAAAAGGCGAGAAAAGGTAGTATATTCAAGGAGATAAGGATGATACCAAAATTAGATGCTGGTCGACTCCAGTATCGTATCGGGAACTTATATGATATTGTTTGTCTGTCACAAAACATTGAAGGTAAATTATGCAAAAATTGTTTAATCATTTTGTTAAGTCATGAAGTGGTGCAGGGGAAGTAACTCTTATAAGATGATTAAAATTTAAAGGAACTATTATAAATGAAGATAAGCAAAAAGATACCGTATCATTGATTGACAGACCAAATTGTAAATCTAAATATTTTTTCAAAAATTTGATTTGTAAAAGAAATAAATGAAAAGACTTAAGCATTGTAAATATAAAAAAATATTTCACTACTGTTTCAATGTAAAGAAATTAATACAGTGATAAGGCAAAAGCTTTATTACAAATGGCAAGTTATTGATCAACTATTTTGATTTAATTTTAATGTTTTCTGCTCACAAAAATTGCCTATTTGTTAAAACACAAAAGCTGTCAGGGAAATAGTGTGCAAACTGTAATAGCAATGCATTGTTTATAATTATAAACACATTAACGGTTTGTAGAGAAACTGTTGCCATTACAGCATTCCTGATTAACCTTATTTCAAACCTGGCTGGGTCGTGTGAAAAACAGAAGACTTTGTTATGTATGTGAAGTCAGTTTTGTTTGTAGAAACTTGTGATTCTCATTGTTTGTGTATGCCACTGATTTGTGGATTAATTAATGTAGAAGTAGAATAAGTGATTTTCTGAAGACTTTTCTGTCGCATGTCATGTAGAGAGGATTAAAACCGACCTTCATGGTGATAACTACCAGCCTTCTCCAAATCCCTCCAGAGGCGTGCACGTCGCGGAGAAGGCACACGGCAGGTCAAGGTCAAATCATCTTAAGTACCAGAGGGGATTGGTTGACCTGTCGTGACTAACTCTGGAGGGTGGCGCTAACAAGAGCCGTTTTATGTCAACCGCCTGTTTGCAGCCGTCACGGAACTTGATGCTTTTCCGGTATTGTCTTTCCTCCACCGAACGAAGAACAGGACTTAGGAAGATCGGCATGAAAAAGACGTCCCCGATGAGACTACTAGAGTGGACCGGCATGGACGCTGAGATCTCGGACATATGGAATTTCCGGCGCCGAGCTAAAATAAACCGAAAAACAACAACAACAAAATAACTACCAGCATTTTCAATTGTTTTTCACCACCGACAGTACTAGTGTGGATTTTATTGTAGTTAATTGTGGTTGAGATTTTAATTTTTTTGACGAAGAAAAGGAAAAAAGAAAAACATTATCAATAGATTGTTTAACTTCACGCAGAGTATGTGTTACTTTTTTGTCTTTGAGAAAAATTACTCTGTACTTAAAGCTTGTGACATAGTAGGAACTTAATTAGATTTTTTCCCTTGGATTTGATTCAATTTATGTTTTTTTTTCCGGAGGATATTTTTCTTGGAAAAATGGAATATTATTGTCAATAATTTGTGTGTATGTAACAAAGGAATTGTTCTAAAAGCTTTGAACAGGATAATTTTCACATGTATAATCTTCTTGTAGTAAAATTTTTTTCTTCTTTACCACTCGATTATCTTTTTTTGCGATGATGAATCAAGTTATGTGATTAGTATTTTCTTCTAAGCATGTGCTATTTCTCAGCAACTGGTGATTGTTAGATTCACCCGATATGTTTTTAAATGTGTGAGGTCTTTTTTGCTCTATGTTAACAGAAGTCTTATAATGTATGTGAGATTATAAACATTTATTCTCTTGTCTTAAGGATTACATAGCATTAAGATTTTACTGTCATGTAATAAATGTCTGATCGTTTCTTCATTTTGAGAAGGGTGAGGGGGTGTAATAAAGTTTTGTTTTTCACTTGCTTTAAATGAATTTCGCCAATTTGATAACATTTAATATCTTGTTGAAGTTTGAATGTACTCCAGTGTGATTTGCAAAAACTGCATGCAAAATTATGAAAGCATGTGTTAGAGATTAGATAAAGGGGGGTAACTGATGAAAATAGATGATTCTGACTAAAGATAAAGGGAAGTAACTGATGTTACTGTACATTTTGGTATATATGTATATATATATACTAAATTTAGATATAGTGTGATAGGAAAACAACTTGTATGTTACAGAAAACAATAAGTAACTTCAAAGTTTAATTTTGCATGATTTTCATGTGTAATATTTTTCTATTTTCAGATGGTTTAGGTGATGAAGATGGAAGTTTGACTGATCAGGAACCAAGCGACTCTCGTGAACGTGTGACCACACCTCTTTCCCCGTCACATGCCATCAATAACAACAATAATACGATAAAACAGACTGCGGAAGACCTCTCGCAAAAAGGTAACATTAAAATGTTCTGGTTTTTTTTACACACAAAAGGAAAATGCCTTTTTCATCATTCTATTCTATCTATACAAGTTTAGATCACAGCATTGTTTTTTTATATTAACTGCCTTGCAGCCGGGCAAGTCTGCACATCCATGCAATCTGACCATGCTCTACACTGTTGACTGACTAACATGAAATTTTCATCTTCATACCCCCTAAATTTATACAATTGAAAAATTTAAATTTTGGACAATTCCAAAAATAGAAGCTGGACAAGTCCATTTAAGAAATTCAGAAGGTTGTGGGTTAAGGGCAAGTGATTTGGTTTGCACCATTCAGCCATTTACTTGATGCATATAGGACTACTGAAAATTGTCACTTTTGGTCTTTGGCGCGTTTGCTCTGAGATTAAGACTTCTTTTTTTAGTTAAAAAAACCCCCATTTCTTCACTATTTGCAAATGTTTAATTCTTTTTCAATTTATTTAAAACTTCCCATTTTTTTTATAAACTTGCAACTTTTAATGAGGATAGTCCCATTTGACTGTGTTTCACATATTAACAGCTTTCATTTGTAAAGGGGAAATATGTAAACTTTTGCTTAGAGGGTTTTTCTTACCATACTTTGATCAGAGAGTATTTTTGTAAGAATACCCCAGAGAAATCTTAAGGAAACTTCAGATCCATTATTGCATAATATTGAAGAATAGGGCAAGCAATTTGCATATTATTGAATCAGAGAATATTTTCTGGAATGTGTCATACTTTTATATACAAATAATATATTTTGGAAGTTGATGGTCGGGGAAATTATTGTGTTTTCTTGTATTTTATGACTTCCTTGTATATGATGTACAACTGGCTACTTTCTTGGATGCATCAGTTTGGTGACTTTTGACAATGTATCTCAATTATATAGTGTAAATAAGGGAAAAAGTGCAAAAGTGTTTTAATGAACCTTATTTTTGTAACATTCCTTATCAAATTTAAGCCTAGGACTGGTGGCAGATTGTTTTGGCCAATTCTGTTGAAAATTTTATTAATATGCCATGCTGGCATTTGAAGGCTTTCTTTCTTAATCAAAGGTTTGTTTGTAAATGATATAATTACAGTTATCAATGCTTCTTGTGCCATTTAAATGAAAATTACAGATTAAATTTAGAATTGTCAGCAATTCAGCTTTTCCATTGCATCTGAAAAATTTAAAATGAAAACTAAGCGTGTAATCACAAACTTTTACCCAGAATTCCCACTAGCACTAATGAACTTGGAAAGTGTACAAAATATAAGAACTTAAAATGTTTATCCGGAAAATAGGATGGTCTTCCAAAAGCAGAAGACATTTTTGGAGCAGACGACAAGTAAAAGCAGACAACATTGACAGTTTCTGCTTATATAAGACAGTAGAATATATGTGTTTAATGGAAGATAAGACTTCAGTTTATATTCTTCTCCAGCAAATCACATTTGATTTATACATTTTAACAAGAAAGTCTTATTTTTGGTGTAATAATATACATGGCTGCGTAATGTAGGTTATTTGTTACGGGGAATTGAAAAACAGGATCTTATCTGATCAGTTTTGTCTGTCTTACTATATGATATTCATTAGAGCACTTGGTCAAACTTAGTTTTCATCTATAAAATTTGCTACGATATGATTAAAATTAAAAATTAGATGAATTGTAAAAGAAATATACAAACAATCAATATCTTTACACCTGATAATTTTGTTTTCTTTACAATCAAAACTAGGAAAAGGCGATATGTTTACTATCAGTCTATCAGCATGGAATAGGGAAACTTAGTTTTATCTGATTGGAGACTTTCTTAAAAAGTTCGCTACCTGAAAATGCTGTGATAAAAATAGCTGTTAATTGTGGAATCATGTAATATTGCCGGCCTGATTCATGTCAGAGATATGTATTTATTAACAATTTTTTTATCTCGGATTTTAAGTTTATATGAGAGGTTTATCTACAATTTGCAGAATTCTGTTACCCTGGAAATAATTAATTCAGGGCTGCTAATGTTGATAAAAGGGATAAGGAGGGAAAAATTCTTCACAGGTTAAGCAATTTGACTGGTATATCATTCACTCAGGAAGAGAGTTTTTTTTTCCTCCGTCTCTTGCTTTGTAACCTGGTAGATATATGAAAATATATGTTTTTCTTGCACTGATAATTAATGAGTCCAAAGAGGAATATATTCCACTTTATTTTCAATAACAATCTTTAGGTTAAATGGAAGTTAAGTGTTCATATTCAAACTTGGGTCTTCTGGTTTTGGGACTGACTTCAAACTCAGGGCCCTATTTTGTTATTAGAAATGATGAAAGATTCACGTTGAAGTATATTTTTTAAAAATTTTGATCGGCTGTATTTTGTTCATATGTAAATTATGTAGTAATTAACATTAGCTGATTAATTAACCTCGACTTTGTAATGATAAATTGTTACTGAATTAACTTCAATTAATGGTATAACATTAAAAAAATTACATACAACATTCATTATAATTATATTTTCATCTGTGACCTATATTACATGTACTTGAAAAAGAATTATGTTAACATATCAGTTATTCATTTCATTTCATGTAATTTTTTTTTTTGGGGGGGGGGGTCTACAAAAGTTAAGGTATTAGAAGACTCACTGACACAAAACAGAAAATATGGTCAATGTTAATTAATTTTTTGTTTAAAAATGATATTGCCCAAGCTTTATATTTTATTTATAATTCATATATTAAACTTACCCTGCTCAAGACAAATATTTATTTTGTGTGTAAGATTAACTGTGTTATATTTACCAGTGTGATGTATCATTTCTTTTTTGTTTGTCAATATCAAATGGTATGCAGCCACCTTAACTATATAACCAGGGTATGTCTTCTTTTTTGTAAGGGTATGTAATTACACGCGAGTCAGTTAGCATGTTTGTGAAATCATGCTAGGGTAAAATAATGCACAAAAAAGCGGAGGAATTTTGATTACTTAACCATCGCACTGTTTGTTAATTATAGTGATTAATCAAAAACTAGCTTTTGGAGATGTCAGAATTTCCCCACTCAATGTTTAATAAACCATTTCGCCAGTGTTTGTATGGAGATATATTTTTACCAATGTATAAAACGAACTTGATGACTGTACTTATTACCGATTAGAAATTTTATGATGTATATGTTTTCCACAAAAATGAAAAAAAAATTAAAAGTGTCGATGAACCAGAGTTTTTAAAAAGTAATGAAGTGCAAGATGACAAAACTAAACTAAGTTTAATTGACTTGTATGAATATTTTAAAAAAATACCCACATTTTTTAATGTTTAAAACTCAGTATATACTTGTTTAAGCGATACATCTGGCAAAATTTTGAACAAAAGCAATTTGGATGAAAATCATTCTCGTAAATGTTTAAATATCTTTTCATGACAAGATTCCTTAATGTTATCCCGTAACCTGCTATAACAATTAGTGATTAGCATTTTCCAGCAGTATCGAGCTAGGCCGTCCGAGTCAGACTGTCCGTGCAGGCTGACCACGCCTTATAATGTTGGTAGCTCAATTTTTGTATTTTCAAATTGAAATTCTTTACATGTTGAATGCATTGTTCTAAATTCTAAGCTTTCCTAATACAGCAGATTATGGATTAAAAATTTCTGCTTTTAATAGATTTATACCGCTTTTAAATTAAGCACCTGTCTTAGTCAATTAATTATGTTTTGTGGGGTTGCAGGTATACATATATGGGGTGGGGAGGGACAGATTTATGATAACGGCCCATAAAGATGAACATAAACTGGCAATTGTGAAGCTGTAGACTGCATGGAATGCATATGAAAACTTCATTAAACTTTATCTCGCATCTCGTGCTTCAAATTATAAGAGACTCATCCAAAATTTTGAGTATCAAGTAAATTAATTGCGAAAAACGACTTGGATGGGTACCGATAAGTTATAGCTAGATATTTCTTATCGTAATGAACAATGCAGATAAATGTCTTGAAACTCTTTGCTTCGCTATCATTAAGCCTGGTGCTTTCGTGCTTATCTTAAAATATTTCGTTAAAATCTTAAAATCTCAAAGTTTCAAGAATCTACGAAAATACACAAATACACTTGTGCTGCTTTCGCATAAGTATTCATAAAGATAATTTTATATAAACATTGCAATAAAAACTAAATCAGCATTATAATGCCTCCATAATAATGGCAGATAATTACCTCGGTTCCTCCATTAATTGATTTTTCTGGGAGAGTATATAATTGTTTCTTGGCAGTCGGCCATTACAAGTGTATAGGTCTTAGGCGAAAATAGGATTACAAAAATACTAGATTGTTTATGGGAGCATTATTAATGAATTCAGCAATTAGGGAAGTGTGGATTCATGGTTTTTGAGAAAATAATTGTCATACAACATTAAAATGTTGCTTTAGGAATTCGAAACAGAAGTGATTATTTTGGAGCACTAAGTGAAACATGGCTGAGGACGTGTAATAAATATTATCGAAGAAAAAAAACCGTAAGTCGCTGTTGATGTTAAAGGGGAAAAAAAGAGATATTGTGACACTGTTTAATCGGAGTACAGGGAAGTTTAAAGCTCCGCTTTTTATACGCTTGACAATAGTTGTAATAGAAGAATATATGGCTGTGAGAGAAAGAGTCAGAAATGACATTAAATTTTCATGAATGTTAAAGAGGGGGAAAAAAAACATTGTTAATGATATTGGATGATTTTTTGTGTTCCTAGAACACTTGCTGATGCTTTGTTGATCTATGTATAGGTTAGTAATTAATTAGCAGAGATCATAGACTGTACGGCAATTAGCTGTGTTTAGAATTCCAAGTGAGTGGCCATGTTGGAAGTCTGGTCTTCTGTTTTATATCCTCGTTGGTTCTAAAGTGTAAAGTGTTTATGTTCGATAGGAATCTGGTTTAAACAAAAATGGCTTAAAAGTGGGTATTAGGATTCTTTTGAACTCGTGTTTTGCTAATTAATTTAGAATAGATTTGTGTGAAAATTTATTCTACAGTTTCACCTGATCTATTGTTGGCAATATATTCCGAGAATGTCGGAATTACGGTCATATATTAAATGACAAACAAAGGAGGAAAATGTTAATTAAGAGACTTGTGTTGTAAGCTCAGGATTAATAGATGTCTCATGTAAGTAGAAGAAATTATTAGATTGTTGCACATGGAAAAAAAAGGAATGTTGCTCTGGTGTATGTTAAAGTTAGACATTAACAATATAGAGAATATTAAATGAATCGTAATAGTCTTTGAGATCTTAAGGTAAAGTTTTCAAGAAATCTGAATGTTAAAAGTTGACAAGATATCATTTGTACAGATAATGAGAGGTAGAGAAGTGAGAGGGGCGGGCCATGAGAGGGTGTGAGTGATTTAGAGGGGGGTAAAAGTGTTAAAACTTTAAATTCAAGTTTGCAATTTGGTAGGGGGCAGGTCGTGTCAGAGAGCTGGGATTAGGATTGCGTAAGGTGGAAAAGTTACAGGATTTTAAAATGAGGGATATAAAAAAAGGGTGTGCAAATGATAATAAAGTGAACATGTAACATTATCTCACATATATGTAAAAACAAAGCTATGTGAAGAAAAATATGAATTTTGATGTTAATATCTTTTATGTCTTATGCAAAAAAACTCACCATATGAATTGATAAACTGCCCAAGTAAATGTCTTTGTAATTAGCAGGAAAAGTCAGTTAAATGTCAGAAGTGATTTGTATGTTCATAGCTTGTTAAAAGCTGTCAATTTCTCTGTCCAAATTAAGTATGTTTTCTCCATAAAATAAAAATTTCTGCAAAAAACAAACCAACAAGCAATTCTTGCCAAGAACAATATTGTTAATACCCTGGTTTTAAAATTTATTAAAAAAATTAATGGCAGAAATATGTGTTCTCATATTTCAAGTAGCTACATCATTTTAATTGAAACTGAATCAAGCACCTGTGCAAATTTGGTGTCCAAAAAACCCCTCAGAATCAGATGAAAAAATTATCAATGTAAATTGAAGTAAGCCTTGATTTTGGGTAAAAAATGTTTGATCTTGTATTAAATAAACCTTTGATTTCTGGGTGCTTGAAATGATGTTATGTAATAATCAGATAGGATGGAGAGAAAAAAAAGAAAAAAAGGATACATGTTATTATACATTAATTATTATGCCTGTATAAATTAGTAACAATGACTTTCTGAATATTTAAACAAGTGTTTTGTAAGTTTGAAGTTACCGTTCATTCTCTTAGAAATGATCCCTTAGGGGCCCTATTACATTCTCCAGAAGTACATGTAAATGTTAAATATTATCCAAAAAAAAGGAATGTATTCTGTTGTTATTTTTTTAAGAATATCTATCATACTGAAAGCTTAAGCCGAGTTGAAATTTTATGTGCTCAACTTTTTGATATTATATAATAAACTGCTATTGTCTTAGTAACTTAATTTTCTTTCAAATGGAGGGGGCATTTATTATAGGATATACATTACATTGTACCTAGATTATGAATAACACGGTAGTGATGGATTTCAATTTAGCAAGAATATCTTGTTGTTAATGTTGTTGAGTATTTCATATTTTGATACTGATAAATTGTACTAAAACCTTCCCATTATCAAGTTAAAAGTTTTGTTTTTTTGTGATTCCAAGTATTATCAGAAACTTATATCTTTATACACATTTGATTCAGTATTGTTTGAAAACAATACTTTGAGAAAAGGAAGTTTTTTTTAATTAAGTAGTTTATTTATTAAAAAAGGATTACTTCAAAGGGTATTTAATGTAAAGAAAAACAAAGATTTAGTTAGGTAGCGTGATTTTTTAAAAGAATGTATTTATGCTACATAATTTTTTTTTTATTTATTTATTTTTTTTCAAGTTGTATAGATTTTATAAATACATAAGTATTATGGGAATGCTATCTCCCTTAATCCACTGAATCCTCAAGTGATTTGCCTATACAACATGCATGCAGTCTGACCAGGCTCTATACTGTTGGTAGCTCAATTTTTGTATTTAGATTTTGAAATCCCTTTAAACTTAGAATGGACTATTCCAAAGACAATGGTGGGAAAATCCATTATACATTGTCAGCAGATTGGAGAGTTAGTTTGTAAAACAATAATTAGATTGGATTGTTGAACAGAAATGCCAAATGTCATATTAATTATCACTCAGTGACTGAATGTTTATTACAAACATGTCAAACTCATGTGGTCTCTCTGCTGGCATTTCATTTACAGAATTTGAAAATTTAACATTTAATTGTTATTTAGAATTAGGAGTTCACTTCATACAGTAAATTAGTTACAGACTATCATATAGACAGCGTGTATGTCTACTTCAGTATGGAATTTATATACAAAATAAAAAGTGAATGGATTTTTTTATTATTTTTTCTAATGGTTTTTATTACGATTGTTTTATATTTTATTTTATTATTTTTTAAAGATTTTTTTTTTAATTTTTAAGTCGGAATAAAAAGATGGATTATTAATAAAACAAATGTGAAAATGAGTGATGTGATTTCTGTTCATTCTTGCTGTTGATAAATTATTAGAAAGCGTTTTGAAATTTCCAATGTTTCAGGTAAATAAAATATATATTTTAGTCTTTAATTTTCTCCTAGCTTGGAGACAGATTTTTCTGGCGGCAGTTCATCATGATGGATGTATTTAGATACAAGATATTTCTAATCAAAAAGATTAATTAACTTAAAATGTCTTTTAGATTATGAACGAAACATTTTGCTTTTATTTTCAGGTGATGCTAAAAACCAGGACAAGTTACACGAATGTCCATATTGCACGTACACCTCTACCAATGAAATGCACCTAAAATCGCATGTGTCATCTGCACATTCAAACAACCACACAAGCAGTGCGTGTCCTCTCTGCCAGGAACCGTTCTCCGAGAAATCCAAAATACAAAAACACCTCACAGCCGTACATAATGTAAATTCGGAGGGACTTAACAAATTACTTGCCCTCGTAGAAGAACCGAAATCCAAAATGCCACCTACAACATTCAGGGAAACGCCACTTCCGACAGGAAACATCGGTCTCGCAAAGATGTGCGAGGTGAATCTAGAATACCTGGAGCTGGAGTCAGCCAAATTAGCTGCTGAAGATGGTAAGATTTTTTAATTCGGTTCCTTGTGAAAATATTATACTATATCCTTTCTTAATCCAAACTTTTGATATATAAAATGATACAATTTTTAATAGTCATGATTCAATGTCTAATAGTCATGGAATAAAAGACACAAATATGATTTTCAATTTCGGCTAAAAAACTAAAGATAGTTTGTCTTAAATTTTATTTGGTAATTGATCAAGAGTACCACAAATATTTTCACATGACAAATTTAATTTGAGTATAACTGAAAATAGAAGGGCAGAAATCTGTTAGATTGAAATCTTAAGAAATTTAATAGCATCAAGATCCACAGTTAGATTTTCTTGTTAGAATATTGACAGAAAATAGTAAAATGACATTAATTCCAGCCATGTCTATAATTTCTAGATTTTGAGTGAGCGATTGGTTAATTGGAAATGAAATTGCATGATCATTTATTAGCAATAAAATTTGATAAATAGCGTCTTTATTAATTTAGTGAAACTCATTTCAAGGCACTAACATAGGTTGTTATATTGAATCAATTTTAATGTAATGCTATCATTTTCTACAGTACAAACAAAAAATGTATTTATTATTTTCAGCAATAGACATGGCTGCACAGAACGATAAAGATGGCGATGAACAGTTCCGCTGTCAGACGTGTTCCAAAACATTCACAAACATTGACCAGCTTTATTCCCACCAAAATGAGCTCGGCCATCTTGAATTGAAGCAGACGCCACGTGGTCCCGGCTACCTCTGTTGGAAGAAAGGCTGTAACCAGTATTTCAAAACTGCTCAAGCATTACAAATGCATTTCCGCGAAATCCATGCGAAAGCTATACCTATGACATCATCTGATAAATCGGAGTATAAATTTCAGTGCCAAATATGTACATTAGCCTTCAAATCTCAGTCAAAGCTTCATTTTCACGCTCAAATGCACATTTTAAAGTCTGCAGTTACCTGCAACCTGTGCACAAAATCTTTCCAGTCAATTGCATTGCTCAGTAAACATGTGGAAACTGCTCATGACCTTGGGGACAGTGAAATAGAACAGTACCGAGCGGAGATTTACGCAAATACACTGGCCTTTGCTACGTTCATGGGTGACCCTAAACTTGCCAAAGTATTCAGCCTGTCAGATTTGCCAAAAGAAAACTTCAAACATACAGATATAAGTTCACATTCCGAACTCGATGGAAAGAATCTCCTGGACTTGTCAGAGAATGGTGGGATTGACTCTGATGATAATTCGCCAGCTTCTACTCCTGTTTCCATGGAGAATGGTTTGGAAAAAGGTATTAACTTTGATGAACTTGGTGAGAATGATCTCAACTCTAAAGAGCAACAGTTTTTTGAGGACCATATCAACAGTAAAGCTTTTGAAGAAAACTCATACGAAGATCCCAACCGGAAGTATAAATGTCATCGTTGCCGTGTAGCTTTCACAAAGCAAATCTATCTGACTGCACATAATAAAACGCCGATGCATAAGAAAGGCTTCAAGTTAAATTACCCAATGGAAAAGTTCTTGGACCCAAATCGTCCATACAAATGTGAGATTTGTAAAGAGTCTTTTACTCAAAAGAACATCTTATTGGTTCATTATAACTCAGTTTCTCATCTTCACAAAGTAAAACAGCAGGGAGCAGATGGTCTGTTACCAATGACAACTGGAAATATTTCTCCTCAGACCTCAACTCCACTGACACAGTCTACTCATTCACCAGCTACTACCTTGTCATCACCATCACCATCTGCTACATCATCTGCTTCAGGGATACCAGAAAAGTTGTCTGCAAAGAAATCCAGGGAGTCATCGCCGGATGATGAAAGTCAAAGACCTTACAGGTGTAATATATGTAAAGTCTCGTACAGTCAGGGATCTACACTGGACATTCATATTAGATCTGTTGCTCATCAAACTAGAGCATCCAAACTACACGAATTAGCCATGACAGGGGAAGTTGACCTTTCCCGACCTCTGATTGAGGAACCCATCGATAAATCACTCCAAGCTCAGCAACAGAAGTTTTTGAATGATTTTTTGAAGACATCTATGCCTCCATTGTCACAGCAGTCTCTTCTGTTCCAGGGACTTCCAGGCCTGACAAGTTTCCCAGGATTCCCTGGTTTACCATCAATGCCAGGACTGCCATTGCTAGCAACTGGACTGCCTCCATTGTTACCTCTATCTCTACAAAATCAAGTGTTCCCGACATCTCTACCCAGCATTACCTCTAGTCATTATTCTCAGTCTGGGTCCAAAGAAAAGTCATCATCATCTGCTTCATTATCAGCAACATCCTCATCAGACAGTAAGCTATCATCAAGTAAATCTCTGGAAAAGATCTCTCCTCAGTCAGTATCAACTCAATCACAGAATGGTGGAAATTCAGCAAAAGAATCCTCAGCTGCAATTAGTGCAGCTGTTGCAATGGCAACAGCTTCTGCTCAGTCCCAGGGAATATCAGGAAATATCCATGTATGCCAGAGATGCTCAGCTGTTTTTGCAAATCAAGATTCCTACTTACAGCATCAGGCTTTGTGCTCAGGAAGTTGCAGTTCACCTATTCCAAGTCCAGCATCTGGCAATAAATCCAGATTTGTTGGTCGTATCAAAACAGCTGTTCAGAGAAATCTCCTGGAAAACTTTGGATTTGAATGTGTAATGCAGTTCAATGAATTCAACCAAAGAAGAGTTAAGAAAGAAAAGGAAGAAGAGGTAAAAGAAAAAGAAAACGGCATAGACAATCCAAAGGCTGAAGAATCTGCAGATAAAAACAGTAATGATAATCCAGATGAAAAACCCTCAAATGTAGAGTCTTTAGATGAAAAAGTAGTTGTAAAAGAGGAACCCAAGCGTGTTGATTTGCCAGAAATGAATAAGAGCCAATGTAATCATTGCAGTAAACAGTTTTCTAGTGTATGGGTATTGAAAGCCCATGAAGAAGAAGTCCATAAGGAAATTGTTCCCTTGGAGATTGTAGAAGAAATTGGAGACCAATTTAAAACTGATTTTGAGAAGAAGATGCCCAAAGAGTTACCTGTTACTGAATTGCCAACTCCTTTGCCAGTCTCCACACCTAATTCACAGGTTGCAGAAGAGAAACCAATCAAATCTGAGATGCCACCACCTCCTCCTCCACCACCAGCACAGATGCAGCTGGACATGTTGCAAATGATGAACATGTTCAGTATGGGTATGATGCCTATGCCAATGCCACTGTTAATGAACACACAGCCATCACTCATGCCAATGATGATGCCACCGCCAGGCTTAGATATGAAACCTCCACCATCAATGCCTGGTATGGATCCTGGTTTATCATCAGGTAATTTAGCTGCTTCACAGAAACGTCAGCTAGAACAAGCTTCAATGGCCAATCAAAAGAGAGCAAGAACTCGTATCAACGATGAGCAGTTGAAGGTATTGAGGGGTTACTTTGATATCAATAACTCTCCAGCAGAAGAACAAATTCAAGCAATGTCTGAGCAGACAGGACTGCCTATGAAGGTGATTAAACACTGGTTTAGAAATACATTGTTCAAAGAACGACAAAGAAACAAGGACTCACCATATAATTTCAATAACCCACCATCAACTACTCTGGACCTAGAAGAATATGAAAAGACAGGAAAACTGACAATCATTGAAGACAGTAGCCCACCATTGTCAAAAAGCCCAAGTCCTGCTCCTAAACTGGAGTCTGAAATTAAAAAGGAAGCTGTAGAAAAATTTGAAGAGTTGCACAAAGAAGCGGTTGCATCAGCCACAAAAAGTCAAGCTCCTAAGGACTTTATTCCTCATACAACTCCAGTAAGATCTCAGGTACCAGAAATTAAGCCAAAACCAACATCTGATGAAAAGTACAGGGAGCCTAAGCTTCCTACTATTCAGACACCCTTACCGACAAGAAGTGAGACTCCATCTGCATTGTCAGCCACATCCACACCCGTACCTCCAACAACAATGTCACCACTTTTGACATCACCAGGTGGCAGTAATAGCTTCATGCAAAACTTTGTTTCCAATCTCCCAGGTATGAGCACACCCACTTCACAAAATTACCCACCTACATCTACTACGCCAAACTCTCTGACACATTATGACAGCCACAACTATTCCCCACCTGGAAGTGGGTCGACAGGCAGACGGGCTAATAGAACACGATTTACTGACTATCAGATTAAATGTCTTCAGGAGTATTTTGAACAGAATGCATACCCCAAAGATGATGAACTTGAACACTTGTCAAAAATGCTCGGACTGAGCCCAAGAGTCATTGTAGTGTGGTTCCAGAATGCTCGTCAGAAGGCCAGAAAAATATATGAGAACCAGCCTGCAGACAATATGAAAGACATGTCTGGCAATTCACCATATGCGCGAACAACAGGATTAAACTACCAATGTAAGAAATGCCAAGCAGTCTTCCAGCGTTACTATGATCTGATACGCCATCAAAAGAGAAGCTGTTTTACTGAGGCTGAAAAGCAAGATTCACATTTTCTCTCAGATGATAGTGATTCCATGTCAAATGTTACTTCTCTTGACAACACAGCATTCTCAGATTCTGAATCAGAATGTTCAAATCTTGGACGCTCAATGAAAGAGGTCAACAGTTCAGGGAGCAGTGAGGGTAAAAAGTATCAGTGTGAAAAATGTGACCAGTCTTTCAATCATTTTGACCAGTATAGAGAACATCAAAGTATCCATAACTTAGCCTCGGGTATGTTCATGAATATGCCAACAGGAGGTGCATTTGGTATGCTCCAAAGCATGGCAAACTCTCAGCACCACAATTTACCTGATCAGTCTCCAAACAAGAGAAAGTATGAGGAAGAAGATGATGACCAAGATCAGCCTCGAGACAAGAGACTACGCACTACCATTCTACCAGAACAACTTGATTATCTTTACCAGAAGTATCAAGTGGATTGTAATCCAAGTCGTAAACAGCTTGAAGCCATCTCAAAGGATGTGGGTTTAAAGAAACGAGTGGTTCAAGTGTGGTTTCAGAACACAAGGGCGCGTGAGCGTAAGGGTCAGTATAGAGCACATCAGCAGTTAATTCACAAAAGGTGTCCAGTCTGCAGAGCATTATTCCGAGCTAAATCAGCATTAGAATCTCATTTGGCTACCAAACATCCAGATGAAATGGCAAAAGGCGAGATAAATATTGACGCAATTCCTGATGCAGCAATAGAAAGTCCTGGACCATCCTCTTCAAATCTCATGCCTCCATCACCAGACTACAACAAACTTCTTGCTCCACCAGCAATGCAAGGCCTACTACCATACATGCCACCGGCAAGTCTTGGGGGAATACCAGGTTTCCCACCAATGGCTGACCCAATTCAGATGTCAATGAAACAGTTTTATGAAGATTCATTTAAGAAGTATATAAATGAGCTAAGCTCTACAAGTCATGCTTCTCACAAGCCAAGTAACTTTCCACATGAATTTACCTCAACTCCGATGAAGACGGAAACACAAGTTTCCAGCATGGAAGATGATGCACCTCTTGACCTCAGTAAACCACTGAAAGTAACGACGCATTCCGAGGAGAAACATAAAGATGGACCCACTTCACAGTCTAGTTTTAGTAGTGGGCAAAGTAGCAGTGGTGGACAGGGCGAAAGAAGTCGCCAGAACAGTGGTCATGGTTCAGTTCATAGTGTTCTTGGATCCGCAGTTGACCAGGCCTACATGATGAACAGGTTTAAGCGTGATAGTGCCATGCATACTCCAGATCTTGAGGAAGAATCATCGAACATGAGCAGTAACCCAGCCTCACCAGGACATACATCATCAATGGGTAGCGGAGGTAACAAACGATATAGGACTCAAATGACTAGTCTGCAGGTCAGAATCATGAAAAACATATTTATTGATTACAAAACACCGACAATGGCTGAATGTGAGATGTTAGGAAGAGTTATTGGTCTGCAGAAAAGGGTTGTGCAGGTATGGTTTCAAAATGCAAGAGCTAAAGAAAAGAAGGCAAAACTTAACATGAAATACCCGGCATCCGAGTTAGACTTTCCCAAGCCTCCAGAAGAGTGTACGCTTTGTAACTTCAAGTATTCACATAAGTATACAATCCAAGACCACATCTTTACCAAGAAACATATAGACAAAGTTCGTGAGTTTATCCAATCTCAGACAGATGCGGAACGCGAGATGTCCACAACAGCGGCGTCGATGGCAGGTGTTTCTGGTCTTTTGCGGTCACAGCAAGCCAATGATGTGGATCACATGCGTAAGCTGATGGAGGAGGCAAACCACCAGAGTCAGATGGCTCAGCTTCAGTCAATGGGGCTCCCGCTTGGCCTGCCACCTAGTGCTATGACAGGTGAGTTTAAATCTTCAATCAGGCAATGTTCTAAATTATATGTACTTCAGGTTTTGTTAATCACTGTTAATTTGCAGCACTGTTTTGTTGGTGTTAAAGGTTTCTTTTGCTGAAATTATTAATTTTATTAAATACAAATTCGCTATTATTTTAATTGTCTGTTTAAATAAATTCGTGAAAATAATTTAGATAAAATTTGTTCAAAAGTCTTAAATTTCTAAGTAAGCTCTTGTGTTTCAATTTAAATTATGGTTTACATTATTTTAAAAAAAGGGTAATGTATTTTAATAAGTGTAATTATTTATAGGTAATTCTTTATAATTGTAGCCTTGCAGTGGAAACTGTATATGATTTGACGGTAACCGAAGTATCTTGTTTTCATACTGAAATGAGCAATTATTTAAATTAGGCAATCTTCCTGGGAAGGGCGTTAGATTTTTACCTAGTAGGACATATGTATATAACTAATTATGTGAAATAAATTGCTGAGTGGGATGAATCCTGAAAATTACTTTGTTTTTCAGTATCTCTAGGCTCTTTAAGTACTTGCTTGTTTTTGTTTATTATTATTATGATTTAATGAAAATTTATAACGATAATTTTCTATACAAACTTGTTGTTTTTTTGTCCCCAGGTATGGGATTGTTGCCACCAGAATTGTTACACAGTCTTCAAAAAGACAGCTCTTCAGGAAAGGAGAGGAAAGAGGGTGACAGCAAATCAGAGGGTAGGTTTCATTTTGGTTACATGACCTTGTTTTGATATTGTACTCTTTGATTGGTGGTTGGTGCAGTTTTGATTAACAGTTCTAATATTTTTTTGTTTTCAAAAAAAATTGTTCAGAAATACAAGGGGGGGAAATGTGTGGGAAGAGCAAGTTCTGCGTAGTTTATATATTTCATTAGACTTTTCTTACATAGATATCAAAAATAATTTCTCTAATATTTTTCTTTTATATTTTTTTTATTTTTTTTTTAATTGGAACTTAAATATTAAAAGTTTTAACTATTGTTATGTTTTAGTGGAAAAAAATAGGACAGTCTGTTATTTTATTACGACTTAAATTTCTGAAATAAACACATTTTTGTAGTGACAATGGTGCCTATGTTTTACGTATGTCTAGCTAATTAATTACGTCTGAAAGTAATATAGACTCATTAACAGAAGTTGCCATGGCAATCGGGGACTATTTACATCTATTTTTCATCAAGATCACTAAGTGTGATAATATTTTAACACATTTTTTGCGACAAATTGTTTCTGGTCTTTCAGCTTATATTTCTTTGTTTCTAACTTTATAATATAGATTATACAAAAAAAAAGAAGTTTGAATAATGGAAACGAGATTATTATGAAATTTTTTATTATCTTAGACATCTAAGAACGTTAGACCAGAAACAATTTGATGTAGTTTGAGACTTCCTTTTCTAATACTTTAACCTGTGGTAGCTTTTCAAATATTTGGCATTCGAATAATCTCATCTATCCAGCTTCCTTATTGGAGGTTGATGGTTCTGGTAAGGTGCTCCACTTGTGCCTCAAATAATAAATGCACAAAGGGACTTCTGGAGCCATTCTGCACTAGTAAAGCTGAGAAGTTGTCATATGACTTGAATAGTGTGTCAGTGTGACTTAAATTACAACAAGAAAAAAATATATATAGAAAAAGTCCATCATCTAATGGTAAAAAGTAGAGAAATTAAACTTGTGTTCTTTTAAAATTAATAGTTCAAAGATTAAAATTATGCCCATTTATTTGAAACGCTACCACAGTAATGAGATCATCACCTATACAGGAGACTTCTGTAATTGTTTCTATATTCAATAACAGCTGTCTTCATACTGAGGTAATGAAATTCCTTCTCAGTGTTTGTTCTCTTTCTAACACTAATTACCTCCCATTTTCTGTAGGCTCTTCAAGAAAAGAGAGTAGCAAAGGTGGGTCAGGGTCATCTGAGGGTCAATTTGGCCCATTTGGTGGTCTCTTACCGGGCATGGACCCAGGAATGTTGCCCTACATGTACCCAGGTCTTCCTGGGCTTCTACCGGGCATGCCCCCTCTAGGACAACCCGGATTTATGCCAGGTCAGTTGTGACTGCCAAAGCATGTTGATTAAAATACTCAACAAATCTTCAGATTTTATGGCTTTATTTGGATGCTAAGTGTTTTGTTTAAGATAAAACATTGTAGATTATACATTTAGCCATTTTGATTTTTATCTTCACTTAATATCTAACAATTTGGTTGGAGATAAGTTAAAATCCTTCTTTGAAAATAAATATACCAAAATCATAATGTAATTTTTTAAATACACATAATCAAGTTTTTTTGTTTATTTTTAATTTGAGTTATGAATTTCTTTGCTCTTTACATTCTTTTTTAAGATGATATAGAATTATTTTTTAACATTTATTTGAATTGTTTTGACTGTATTGTTCCTTATTTATTTAGAGTGTTCAAAATATTCATTTCTATTTTAGGAACAGAGCATCTTCTTGGCTATGACCCCATGACCTACGGAACTCCACTTCCTCTACTACAAATCCCTCAGCAAGCCATCAAGGACGTGAGTTCAAAACTCATGGATCCGAAAGCCACGATTGGTCAGTATACACAAGACTGTAAATCTATCTCCAGCTTGAAATCCCTCGTCAGTGGGTCAGATTATAACTGTGTAAGGGAGGCAACTGTTGATGTTGGTTATATTTGTAAAAAATGTCAGATGGTCTACCCTGCTAAGGAAGCATGCGTGGCCCATCAGAGGTTAATGTGCTTTCCTGGAGGGAAGATTCCCGAGAGCGTAAATATTACATTAAAGTTAGAACAAATACAGTACGAGTGTAAACTCTGTTCCGACAAAATGTCTACAGTTCAGGAGTTTAAATCGCATTGTGACAGCGAGTCACACAAAACGAAACTGGCAGTGTATCAACAACAGCGGCAATTGGGTGGCCAAACTGTAAAGACATCAACTTATTCCCCTCGGCAAAGCAGTAGCTCGTTGGATTCGGAAAGAGCATCAGTGACTGAGAACAGTCGTAAAGAAAATGAATGATCAGAAAATGAAAATAAAGGCAGATGTGACTATAATTTAAAAAATGGGAGGTGTTAAATTTTTGCTTCATTTATAAATGTTCTTCGAACAGATACTGTTTATTTGTATATAAGTATATAATGTTAAATGTAATGTCATTATACATAAACCCATAGCATGAGGACCATAACTGTAGTGAATATTAGTGGTCCAAAATATTGTATCACACATAGCTGTTAGTGTGAAAAAGGGTAGACAAAATGTGTGAAGATTATATGAAAATATAATATGTATGTGCAAGAAAAAGTATACAAAATGTATGTAAATTTTTTTATACATACTAATTTGCTGAAACTATTGAAATCCATACAGCGAAATTGACAGCAAATTATATATGCTGTAAAAACTATGATATTCAGTATTTAAAGAATTTTTTTTTGTTCTTGTAACGAAAAAAGAAAAGAAAACAAAGGGGAGGTTTATCTTTCATTGATGACTGCATATAAAGGGATGAATATGTTAAAAATATTTTATGTTAAATTGTCGAGTAATTTTTTTTTTTTATTTGTAATAAGTGCTATAGCTATAGTAATTGATAATGTTTATATCAGATAGGTACAAACATTTTATGTAATCTTTACTAACTAAGATGTATATTTCATATAAATATAGAGTCGATTTCCATATGATGTTTAATTTGTGTTCGTAAAAAGAAAATATCGAAATTCCAAACCTTTTAAAGTATGGAATTCCAAGCATTTTGTTTATAAAAATGATAAATATCACATGTTTATTTTTCTTTCATTTGATTGTGTTTTTTTTTTCTTTTTCTACAAATTTTAGATAAAGAAATTAAAAAAAGGAGCTATTGTACAAGTTGATAATATGTATATATTGTTCTGACAGTTTTGTTTCATGTAAAATTAATTTGTTATTCATTTTTCATATATAACTATATATAGCATTATAACTGTTACTGTTATTGGACATACGTCATGTTCAGGGTGACTGAACGATGGACATTGTGCTGAAATGTACAAATACTACATTTTTGTTTTTTTTCCAAAGCATTTCAACGTTATGTGATGTACATTGTTCTTAAAAGTATTTTTCACCTGTCAGCAAACAAGTGTGAGTGACGGAAGGAAGTTGATGAAATAGACGCTTATTTTAGTGCAATGACATCATGTAACTTTCATCTATTTTTAGCATTTCTATTTTTAGCATTTCTGTTTTTGGCATTTGTTAGACCAATTACACTTACACAGCATTCAATTACACATATGTATATAGTTCTAGATAGATTTATTTTTGTTACGCTTGAATTTACCAAATGTAATTTGGTATGTGATCATTGCAATTTTTGACATTAGTTTAACTAAATTTGGTACATTGTTTTTTTCCCCCCTTATTTTTTTTTGTTAGTGAACTTTTTTGTAAACGTTACACAGGGATCTGTAAAGAAAATTTGGCATTATTTTCACATGTTGTACACTGTCACTTTTTGACAATTCTTTGATATTTGTATTCATTATGGTTGATTTATATAAACTTTTAGAACTGTTGATGTTTTTTTTTTCAAAAGGCTTTAATATTCCTACTTTATTTCAATGGTTGTTTTTTTTTTCTTAATGATTTCTTTTAACTAAATATTACAGATTCTAGATCTATTAAATATGGTGCAAGTATTTGTTTTGTGCCAATTCCCGACCAAAAAAGTTGTGGAAAGAAATCCAAAAAATTGTTCAAATACCTCATTTTATCAATTCTGTGACATTGAAAATGTGTGATTTTCAATTTTGAAATAGTGTATGTTTAATAATTGTGAACAGCCTAATAGAAATTACATGTATTATATTTATAAAAGCATAAGTACTTACATATAGCATTGAGTCTTACTCAAAACTTTTTTGTAGTTGAATTAAGAAAGCATAGTTTTACTTCCTGTCAAATATTGATTTATTTTATAAATAAATAGAAAAAATTGCAGATTATGTTTTTTATTTATTTTTTACCTATCGAGTTGTCCACACTTATATACAGTTTATTTTTACACAAATTTTGTGATGAAAATCACTTGGTAAAAAGGTTGTGTTTGGTTTATCACAGTACAACAGGTTTTAAGCAGATGTTATTGAAGTTTAAACTGAATTTACATATTTTTACTTCTAATAAATTTCAACATTTATGTGATGGTAAGAAGATACATGGATTTAGTACCCAGTATTTTTTTTTCATTTGAATAACTCATCAGTTACGTTGTCTTTAAGGTCATTGTTGCCGAGGGTAACTTGGTATTGACCCGTAATCTCTCCTGTTTCATTTCCTCTCAAATTTCTTTTTTTTTGATTTCATGAAAATGACAAATGTTGGTTCAAGTGACAATATAAGAAATTAGTTTTATATATATTGTTTTAGATAGCCTCAAAGAGTTCTTTATAGCTATTAATTGAAAAAACATTAACAGACAAAACAATTGCTTTTATATATGTATATATTTTATTTCTTTTTTTTGAAATGATTTATGAAACGTTATTACCATGAAAGCTAATACTTTTGAGTAAGTCTGTAAAAAATCCCCTTCTTTTATTTCATGATGAATAAACAAAAATTTCAAGAGGAAAAAAAGAAGCAACATGTGATAATATGTGTTGTGAGATGGATGGGGTGGGGTTAGTTTTTGGACATACCTGGAAGGAAAAAATAGGAAAACTTTTTATTTATTAACATAAAAAAATTCTTTGATTTAGTTGTTTAAGATTTGTAACTTTTCTTTCTGTGTTTTTACGTGTTTTTTCTAAAAGATTTAGTTTAATTTCACTCTTTCATTTCAAATGGTGCTTTATACTAGTTTCTGTTCATTTTTTTTCTCTCTGAAATACATTTTATGATTTATTTTTAGAATATGTTCTTTCTTTGCTCTAGTCCTTTACGTTCATGAAGACATATTCTTGTTCAAAAATTTGTTTTAGACAAAAGAAAAGAGTTTACAAATTTGATCTCTGTCAGATGAAAAAGTGCCGCAGAAATCTTATTTTGCGGGAGACCTTTGTGTCTGAAGTAGGTCGGTTAACTTTGTAACGACCTTTTCATATAGTACATGTATAAAGATTCCTGAACAAATTTGAACTGCGTCAGATGAAAAGGTTTCACGAGAATTTTATTTGAGGGATGACCTTTTCATGTGACGAGGGTCGGTTAAATTTGTACCAACCTTGCATTTAGTGTAGAATATATATTAAGACAACATTATGTTATTTGTTTTATATATAATACAATTTTAGTGATCATTCAGTATTCAACCACAAACATTCCTTGGTATTGTACATATATGTGCTAATATTACCCCAAAAATAAACTTTTTAAAAGAAAACATGGCTTTTGCTTTAAGTAGATCTTCAAAACAAAATAACTGAATGTTTGTTTTGTTGCAAGTCGCAAAAGAATCAAGTTATTGACCCCTATGTTGTTTTCAAATGGAAAACAATGTTGAAAAATAAGTCTATGGTCACATGTGTAAAAAAAATTCTGAATAAAATAAGGACAGTTTTGATAGTTGCCAATGACAAAAAATTTATGTACAGTATGTGCTTTATGTCTATTTTCTTGGGGGGGGGGGGGGGGAAATTTTTTTTTTTTCACTTTTTTTATTTTTTAAAAAAAACTTTAAAATGACATTTTACTCGTTGATAGTTGAAACTATTCTGAAGTTTCTGAGACAGAAGGTTTTTTTTTTTTGTCTTCATTTAAATCAGTCATTATTTGTCTGGAGCTAAAAGTGATGATTGAAATTAGTAATAAGCATTGCTATAGTAAATTAAATTTCCGAAGGCGTCTAAGGAGTAAAAAAACATCGAAATGGAAGATTTGGTTCCTATTTAAGAAAGAAAATGACTAAATTTACATATAAATTGTTTTCATTAATGAGTTTTATTGAAATTCTTTGCAATTTCTTTGAATATAATTAGTTCTTGTAAGACGTAAAGAGATTTTACCGTCACGATGAATATTATGTTACAGCGGAGTATGTAATATTGTCTAACATGCATAATAATTATATCTAATTAAAAAACTGTGCAGAAACAAAACACAGACTAATTTCAATTTCAATTGTTTGAAGAATGTCGGGGAAAAATAAAAATATGCGAATATTATCTGAAGTCTCGCATTAGTCGGAATGTTTTGTACATTAATGAGAAATCCATTAGAATATAGCTTCATATATCCGAATTTTAATTTTGAGATGTATATTTTTTTTAGTTGGGGAAATGAATTTTAATAAACGGCATTTGTTTCCATTTTTCTTTCCTCTTAGACAATGAGAATATGCAAAATATTCACTTTTTTAGATTTCTCGTGAATGGAGTGAAAATACAGAAATCTTGACAAATTTTTATATTATACCGGTATAATTTGTATCACATAGACCAAAGAATTGCCAATTGATTTAGCTATACGCGGTCTTCCAGTAGAATAAATATTTTGTGAGATATGCTACTGCTAAGCTAGTGCGGAATAAATGCTATATTTTTGTGACGATTTTTTAGCAAGGTTTAGCTGTTTTAGCAAATAGTTTAGCTGAAATGAAAGTAATTTTGAGTTTTCAGCGCAGCATTGTTGCATCTCAATGTGCTAAAAGTACAGGTTGCGACAAAGTTACGCAGAAACCTGGAAATATTGTAAATGAGCTATGTTAACTTACCTGTAGAGTAGATTTTATAATAAAAAACAAATATGTGCTTACATTTCAACATTATTGTATTGTGTAATTGAAATTATGAAAATAGATTATCAAAAAAATTTGATGTATATTGTATGTTAATGCATTGATAAATGGAAAGTTTTACGGATATAACTATTATATTAACCAGTAATTCTATGCCAAACAGGTAATTTGAAATATTCTCCTCATTATGTTGGCTCCATCTTAATTATTGGTATTTGTTCTTTTCAAGGAAATAATAATTAAAAGTCTTGCAGAAGTATTTTCTTAAAAATAAAAAAATAAAAATTTTGATAAAACTGTGTAATTGTCTCAGTGCACTATTTTTGTGATGTATGAAAAACTTAATGATCTCTTACTTATATACAAACAGTAAAGAAAATTTATTTGTTTGTGAATGTTATTATTCATTTTTCTCATGTAGCTGAAACTTGTCTTAAGTGACCATGATGTTATTTGATATTTTGTTCAACAGCTGTAATTGACTATTCCAAAAATTAAATGTGACTGACTTGAAATGTAATGATTTTATTTGTTTACTGGATAACAGAATTATATGTTGTTCAAGTGGTCATTGTCCTTTTGTGTTGTATTCAATTTTCCAAAGAAAAAAAGACATTATTAGAATAAAAAAAATGTGTGTTTAATTAAATGATTTTTCACTTATCGTTTCGAGAGGTGAAAAAAAACATACATATATAGTCTGGTGACAACATAGTTGTTTTTGTCTGGTCTAGTGATTATGCTATATGTTAAAAAAAAAATCTACACATATGTAGTTATGCCATGTGTAAAAACTTGAATGATTATGCCATGTGCATAAAAAAATGTGTTGTTTGCTTAATGTCTGCTGTTTAATTTCTTTTCATCTATATATACATCATATACTTAACCCTTACACAAAGTTTTTGCCAACAGTATAGAGCCAGGCCAGCATATATAGAGACAGGTCAGCCCTAAAAGTTGATTTTAATCTGACCAGGCTCTATACTGTTCAAATTTTTGTTACATCTTTAAAATTAAGAATGGAACGTTTCAAAACAAAACTTGAAAACAGATTCAGTAAATCTGGATATTCAGCAAGTAAAGGGTTAACCAAAAAAAGAAAAATCCAAATGAAGCATAATTTCATTTTTTCTGGTTTTTTTTCCTTTTTGTAATTTTTTTCCTTTTTGTAATTTTTTTTGTCCGCAACACAAAAAAAATCCAGCCATTGTAAGCATTTATAAGAAAATTTTATTAATCATAAAATTTATATGTTCTCTTTATATGTTAAATTTTACTATTATATAAATGTACATTATTACTTGTTATATATACATGATTTCGAGTCTAACATGTTATTTGTAAAGTTACTTTAAAATGTTCAGTAGCCTCAATTGCATTTATATACATAGTTACTGATGATATGATTATATAATGTTTTATTTGTACCAATTTTTTTTTGGTACGCATAATTTTAGACTATTTTCAAGGTAAATGTAGTAGTCTGCTTTCGCAAAAAAATGAATAAATCATATTTACCATTATCTTAAGTGTTTATCCTTATTTCTTACCATTTAATATAACATGCAGAATAAATGGCAGCATCGCCAAGTGTTTAACGCATCAGACTTGTAATTTCAAGATTGCTGGCTGCATAGGTTTGAGTTTGAACCCCATCAGGAGCCAGTCTTTGTTTCCTTGAGCGCAAGACATTTGACCCTTATTTCCTTGGTACTGGATGATTCCAGGAATGAATAAGAGTGTTTCTATAACTTTATAGTTTCCTGCATGAACTACAATTAATCTCTTATAAACTGATAAATATAGGTCTGTCTTGGTCTCCATTTGTGAAAGAATTAAAGGCATGTTTCCCCGTGTGTATTAGTGAAGTCTCTTGTGACTTTATTTTCGTTTTACAAGACTTTAATAACGTTTCAAGTGCTTATCAAACTATTAATAGTCGACTTCCAATTTACAGCTTTGTCTGTTTGACCATCCATGCAAACGGAGGAGAATGTATTCTGATGATTACTTGATTTTATTAAAACTATCAATTGATAAAGCATTGCAAGTCCCTTTTATACAAATAAAGTAGGAAACCAATCAAGCCTAGTTAATTTACAAATACTTTTTTTCAATTTAAAATTTGGATTCCCCTATGTATCTGAGTGTTGGCATAATAGCACAAAGCTTTAGTTAAAGTTTTAAGAAATTGTACCATATCAATTAACCATTAAAGTACATGGTAGCCATTGTTAGAATGACTTAACTTGACTATTCAAAGAACAGAGGAAATAAACTCTTTGGTGTGTTAATAACACTTTGGTTCAAGTTTAGCAAGTTACATCAGGTGTAACATCATATCTCATCAACCAGTTATTTTCTTGAATCTTAAAACATATATTTGAGGTAATAATAAGAGACCACTATCAAGGGCCCCTCACTCTAGCATGATTTTCACTGAACGATAGACATTTGTGAACAATGAAATTTCGACATTTGTGAACAAAGATACTTCCTGGTCAATGTAACTTTGTGTTCAAGAAGTATGGAAGGTATTCATTGAATGGACCTTTCCGGTTTTTCGTAGCGGATCATTTAGCCACACTTTTTCCATTCATTGCTGGTCAAGTGCTCACAAACAGTATCACAAACATAACCATGTGTTATTTTGTGCAAACCAGGTCAACCAGTGACTATGTATTATCTCAGTGTAGCAATTGGATAACAAGTGAGCCAATTTACATAAAACTGTAAACACTGGAAAGGTCCATACTTCACAAATGTTTTGGGGGTATTACCTTTAGGTCAACTTCACGAAACATAACTGATTTCGATTTTGACTGAACCATTGCCCTTTTTGAACTCATTCCTGAACTTTGAAAATTCCTGGTTAAAGTTTTGCATGCAACTTCATCTGCAACTCCCTATCTCACCAACCAATATAAGTATTTCCTTGACACTTAACACATGTCTTTGAAATTGTAATTAGAGGTTACTAACAAGGGGCCGTAACTGATGTCCAGATTTTAATAAGTAAATAATAACTGTTTGTGAATTAAGTAAAATAACTGGCTAAAATTGTACATGCTAAATGAATCTCCAAAACTGCTGAAGATATTCACACAAAACTAAATACTTGTCTTTGAGAATCATATCCAAAACCCATAACTCTAGCATGGATTTTGTTAGAAATATGGCCCTTTGTGATCAAGGAAAATTTCCGGTTATAATATTTACAAGATATTTTACAGGAAGTTTCCACCCCTATGAAACATGGTAAATAAAAGGAGATCTCAATTGAAGGCCAGCATGAAAGACTTCTAAATCTCTAATTATAGAATAGCTTTTGATCGGATAATAGTTTCTGTGTGAAATCTTGTGAATTTCTACATTGCATTGATATTAAGGTAATTTTCACAAATTTTTATTATACTCATGTTTGAAAAAAAACGCAAGAGGTAGTATTTGATAATTTTACTCAGCCTAGTCCAACTTTTTTTTGTAGTGAATTCCTTTTCAGACAGTTTGAACTAAGAAAAATCAGTCTGTCAAATGGGTCAAACTGTCCACTCTGAATTATTGTGTTTATGCGGTATATGTACCGATATACAGTACGGGGTTTAGAGAAGTAGTAATTTGGAATACTCGTACATTATCGTTCAATTTTATTTGGTCTGAGATACAGTAATTGGTGAGGAGATTTCTTCATGTTGGTAGTTTATTAATATTGGAAGACTGTAGCAGTGGTAATTTTCAGGTCGTATTAACTCGAAGGAGAATTTAAAGCAATTTTAATCCGATCATTACAGATTTTTGAAATTAATTTCAGCGTACCAAACCTTCTATGGCAACACTAACTGCTAAAATTATAAATAAGATCATAAACAGGAGTCCAGCTTTGACTTACGTCGTAAGTTACGATAAGTTTAAGTCACAGAGTCTAAGTATAGGAGCTTGAAAAAAAGTTTTACATGTATCTTTTGAAATATAAGTGTATAATAGCTTAGTACAGTTCTCAGAATCAAAGTAATACTCGTAGGCAAAAATGTGAGTTGTGACTGATGATAAATCATTAAACTGATAAATGAATTGTTAAACATGTGTCACAGGGTCATATGGCGTTTATTTGCTGCCTGTAGAAGTCCAGTGTTGTCAAGAGTCTTGCAAATGTCTTTGATTTGTTGTAAACTTACCGAGTCGAATGTGATATGAGTGTTCTTCGCAATCATCCACAGTCAAATCTGTGCCCACAACTGATGCTTATCAGCAGGATTTCACCAGATTAGCTATCGGGTGATAGAATAGAATTTTCTAGCTTCGGGGAAGTAACAGGATCTGCCTTCTGCGCATGCTCATTCCCGGATATCCGCCCTCCAGTCCGTACCCAATAATAATCGTACCCAATTATTACCACATTCCTCCCCGTCTTAAAAAGGACATTGACCAAAATGAGTTTACTATCACAGTTCAGTACCAACGAACTTCATGACGTCTGGTGACCAAGCTATGACGTCTGGTGACCAAGCTATCAGTGTACCTGATATGTTACACATTTAGGGACCATATAACACTCTGTGCCTAGATTTTATATAGCACATGAACTTCCTGACATCCATGGACCATATTATCAGTGTATCTGATATTTTACACCTTTCATAACATTATAAATATGTAGAATTTAAAATTGAAAAGGACATTGGTAATGCTGGTGCAAGTTGGACCAGCTGAAATCCTAAATTCCTTTACCACTCATAGAGTTGCAACATGTTAGAGTTGGTATGCTGCACCAGCTGACCAATCTCTACCCCCAAGAGTCCTGAAATAGATCGCACTGTGTCACCAATGAAAGCTGGGGTATTCATACGAGCTCCAACTGGCTCGAAATAGGGTGAATCTGTCTCGACCAAGAGCCGATTTAAAGGGATTCGTCGGAGAGCAGCTTGCTGGTACCGGTTGAAACGAGCAACCTGGTTGGTGATACCAAAGTAACAGTGCTGGAAGGTGCTGCTCCAACTCATAACCTCCTCAACGGTCCCTGTGAAGCAATGCAGATGAATTCGCTGCACTGGGGATACATTTGCCTTTAAAATCTGTAACGCTCGGTGATAAACTTCCCCGCCGTCCTCATGAGTGCGCCCTCTTACGTGAAGGACAATCGGTCGACAATTCATGGCTAAACCCAACAAATCTGTAAAAACCCTTTCCTGCAGATCCCAAGAATCGGGCGGTAATGAAAAGTCAAGGCCAATCTCCCCTAGAGCACGTACCACCGGATCCCTCAGTAACTCTTTGAGAGTATTGTAGACATGAGTTGAATACTCATTAGCGTGCGACGGATGCACTCCCACGGCTAGCACGACTGAATTCTCCCGTGGAATTCTCACTGGAAGATATTTTGGGTCGCAGTGAACCGACACCCCTCCACCGCACACAATTCCTGATGTTGGTTGTGCCCCCACGTCCAATGCCAGCAAATCTGGAAGTGACATCTCACGCCCCACCCTCCTTGAACATCGATCCAGATGGAAATGGGAATCAAAGGCTGCTATGCAAGTTTGACTGACCAGACCAGCAGTTGCTGGTCTATCTTGTGTATTGTCAGCTGACGGTGGAGCCACGACTGGCTGATCTATGTGATCCTGCTGATCAACTTGCCTGACTGCTTGACCTGTCTGCTCTCGATGACCAGACACTGCTTGTCTACCTTGTGTATGATCAGCTCCACGCCTGTCCACGGGCCTTTCTGTCCTGCTCCTATCCCTTGCCTCCGACCGTGTAACCAACAACCTCGCCCTTCCATCCTGGAACATCTGACCCTCTTCTTCGGTCAGTTTTGAGATCAGACCTGCTAAAACTCTCCAATGGTACAATAAGGCCTGGCTATTGATAGGATGCAGTACAAATCGATCCACCCTTGGCAGTCCGTCCATCTCACATATCCGATGGAGCCAACTCACGTCACCTGCCATCACTTCAGCCTCATGATGAACAGCATTTTCCCTAACCACGCTGTTGAACAGAGTTTCTAGCTGATCTGTACCGACCAGTCTCCTGGCCAAATACACCAGATCAGCCCTCCTACGCTCTGCAAAGGTCCCTTTAGTGATATATTGAACTTGAAGCTCCACAGGCAAGTGCTGCTCGTAAACATGACGACGTATATTTCTGATCTTATTGTAGCATCCTTTTACCACACACAGCTTATACCTAAACCTCTTCTTCATTCCCTGCTCACTACGCTTTCCATTTCCATTCCCAATTATTACCACAGATTCGTCCCCAAAACTCAAAAGTCACACTGGTCACCAATTTGTTACCTTCTACATTTGAAGAAGGGTTTTGTAAGTTCTCTTTAGTGTTTAGAAGTGTTAAACACACAGAGACAAGATACAGCAAATTTATAAAGTAATGAAACACAAAGACAGAAGATATGTCTACACGTACAAATTTAAACAACTTTATTTCAATCTAAATTACGAGCGGAAAATTGAGGCCTGTCACCATAGTTTAGTTAATACTATAGTTAGTGTATGATGCATGAAGAATGATAATGAGGCTATTGAGGTAAATGTGAGATACAAATTGGATGGTCAAGGAAGAATATATTATTGGACATGCATTACATCATATAGGATATGATAATGGTTAGGTATATATGAAAATTATGATGACATATGACCCTGTAGTCAAAATATATTGACATGCCAAAGCTAGATTCTGAGTTATTTTCATACTGGGTCAGAATCTCTCTTTTAGAGGCGACATATTGCCCAGACACGAAAATAGCACAATATCTCATTGTGCAGTACAATTAGTTGGACTAATAACCCTGTGACTCATGTACATACTGTACATGATGCAGACTTGCTAGAGGTTGATTGTCATAACCAATAAATGCATGGTGTCAAAGTACACTCAAAATTCTTTGACAATAAAGAACCCATGGTTGTTCACTAATGCTCACTTTCTTCATTTTTATAATAAACAAGTCATAATCGATATCAGTTGTTACGCACTATCATGTTGAAATAGACCATACAATGCTTTACTGATGCAATTAACAAATGGACTCGTCAGATTAATCATTCGACAGTGGAACACTATGTATTTACAGAAAACAAATGATTTAAACAAGCAAAAATGACATGCATAATGAAATGTGTAATTACAGAAATAATAATGAGTAAGAAAAAATTTGCCTTTTTTACTAAATTTTGTTTCTTTTGTTCAATAATCAAAATTATACTATTTTCTGTTCATTGTTTGCTGCAAGTAACAAGGTCTAAAGAGTACCTAAAAAAGTGAAGATTAGAAATCCTAGTATGGGCACAAACCTTACTGTTCTGCAGGACAACCTTGCATAACAATTCACTCATATTTCAAGCAAATCTACTTGTCATGACAGGTGGTAGAATTGCAGACCCAATACTGATCTGACGGGTAAGGTTCAATGTACATGTATATGATAATATTGTCACTTGCATTCCAGGACAACTTTTGATATAACATATATACCATGATTATTCTAAGTTTTATACTGTTCATTTAAGGGTGTCTAAGATGGACTACTGCAATAAAATTGTGCTGGCACCTATGGTGAGGATAGGTACCCTACCAACAAGATTGTTAGCTTTACAGTATGGTGCTGATATTGTGTATAGTGAGGTAAGATATGGTTTATATAATAATATTATTGTATGTTTGACATGGTTTATTTTGTTCCTCGTATATTCAAATGTGTCTAGCTTAACCATTCTCATTTTTGGAATTGTCCATTATCAAGTTTGGGTATATTAAGATGAAATTGTAAAGTAAGTTAGCCTTGTCAGTATTAAGCTTGGTCAGTCTGCAGAGATTGCTACTATGTAGCTGGCCTGGCTCTATACTAGTGACAAAGGCTAATCACTTTCAGTTCCAGCAGGTTAAGGGAAAACTTGTGTTTTGAGGAAATGAATTTTGATACATTCCTATGATATGAATTATGATATGACAAAAAATTATGACATAAATTTGAACTATGACATACATTATAGTATATATCATCACCTTGTTGCAAGAATAGGTTAACTCCTATTAAATTTCATAGAAGTTAACCCATTATTGCACTAAGGTGACAATATTATGACATACCAGTACATTGGCATGCATTGGAATAATGACATGAATTATGACATGATCAATCACAGCAGTAAGTCACAGCTTTCTTTGCACATTTGTTCAGGTATTGAACTCTTCTTGCCCTGATAGCATCCTGTAACAGTACAGCTGGACTATTCCTAGAAACGTGGGTAATCATACCAGCTGTGGCATTCATGTAACACCTGGATATAGTTTTGCATCAAATTAATTGTGAAGATACAAACAAATAAGTAGAAAAAACAGTGCTTATTAATATTGAAATGATCATGACCAGATTAAACCTGCAATTTTAACTTAAAATTATTATAAACTTATTAAATCAGAATCTGTAAAGTTGAATAAAAGCAAGTATGTCATAGATATTGCATTATTGCTTGTGTATAATGCTCAAATCTACAAAATGATACAGGAATTAACTGCCCGTCTCTTTAAGACAATCAAGCACACCTGACATGGTTGCCATTTTATCAAGTTTGCAACCATTTAACTTATTTGAACCAAGTGTGAAAACAGTTCATGTACTGCCCCTTATTAACAGATGAATTTAGATTCAAGTTCTTTCTTACTAATTAGTATGACTCAATAGTACTAGCATAAAAAGAACAGCATATTATACATATACATGATTATGTTTTCTTTAACATAATGAAATACAGTGTAACCTCTGTAGAGTGGTCCCTGGTACATCAATTACCTCCTTACAGTAACACTGCCATTTTTTTTGAAAGTAAGACTTCACAAAAAAATGTACCTCACTAGAGCAATACCTCTCTACAACAACCAAAATATTTGTATCCCAGAGGGTGTTGCTTTGTAAAGGTTGGACTGTACTAGGTAATGCTTTTTTGAATGGTATTTAAAACTAATTATTAATAAATTATATTAACTGTTTTTCTCATTACATTTGTTTATAGTTAGAAATGTAGAATCTTTTTTTGTTGTTTCTAGGAAATAATTGACCACAAAATACTTGCCGCTAAAAGGATTGAAAACAGTAAGTACATGTAGATATAAACTGACATTATCAGTGCTCAATTAAAATGATAATTTGCATTAATTATAAATGATAAAATTTTGTATGAAATGTTTTAAAAATATAATTCTCCATGTTCTAAGCATGCAGTTTATTATCATTTGAAACTATACATTTCAGTAATGTACTTATGTACTTACAGTGGATGTCTTCAAATGATAGAATAAAGTTTAAAAAAGAATAGAATAAAGTTTAAAAAAGAAGAAAATTTTGAAAAATATTAAAAAAGGGAAATAAAGAAATTTGTAATCAGTTTTTTCTATGCATATATCAGTTTAAAAGAGTGAATAACTTTTATCACAGTGTGTTTACAGTTAGGTCTGTTTTTCATATTTTGTCTGCTTTTATGGTTTGCCTACTGCTAGCTTAAATAACTGTATTTGTTCACTTAAATATATGTATTCCATGAAAATAAGCATGAATTGGAAATGGTGCTGCTTTAAAACCAAAAATATGTATAGCTGATAATACTGAATAGTATTAAAAAGGTAATGAAGAGTGTCAAACAAATAAGCTTGATTTTTAGAGAGGCGCCACCATTAGTATTTTTTTTATATGGTTAGGTTATGTTAAAAATATTTATTATAACTTGATTGTAATAAAAGTTTAACCTTTCTGGAACAGACCAGTACTTATGTCAATGAAACATTGCTTCAGTAAGGCTCGAACCTTGAGAGGCAGGAAATATCAACAACTGCTCCACAACCCCATCCCCCCCTTGGCACAGTTATGATATGCTTTCCCCAAAAATATATATGAATGCCTTACTGCATGATGTATGTTAATCAAACTTGCATAAATAACTAACCAGATATCGCCTGTGTGTCCCCCTGCTTTAGTTCACTGACTTAAAAATCACTTAACCCTTACACTGTCAGTTCCAGTCCCTTCATGGACTTTAAATTCTTTCAGGTTAGGAAGATATCCTTCTATTGTATAGAAGAACAGTAGTTCTACTTTAGCAGCTTGCTTGTGTCTGAAATAATGCACAAATTGAGATATGGGGTCTTACCACCATCAGTAAAGCTGCAAAGTCACCATATGACCTTGACAGTTTTGTTCTGACTTAAAATCTTTCAAAATGAATGATCAGTAAACTAGATTACACAAAGATGTTACTGATTTTAATCAGTACATATATATTACAGGCATACTAGGAACTGTGGACTATGTGCTGTCAGACACAACGCTTGTCTTTCGTACACATCCTGATGAGAGAGGGAAGATTGTCTTTCAGATGGTGAGTAGACAACTTGTTATTGTTATAAGATTTTTGTATCAAATTTTGTATTTTTAGCTCACCTGACACCTGAGTTCAAAGTGCTCAGTGGTGCTCAGAGGTCAGAGATGAGCTTTTGTGATGGCAGTTTGTCTGCAATATAAGTTGTTATCCAAAATTTTATTAAACAACATCTTCTAAATCACCTGGTGTATATATATATAGACTTATAATACATAGGAAAACACATTTCAATCTTAACTACCAGAAAAGTTCAGAGCATACTTATTTTGCATATAGCAATGCTTAGGCAGTCACTGTCCAAGGCCCATGACTCTAGCATGGATTTTGACAGAATAATGGTTCTTTTTAAAATAAGAAAATTCTACATTATCTAGGCTCTTGTTCTGAGAGTAGTGGAGCATTTTATCCTACCGACAGCTCTTGTTTGAAATTCTAAAAATTTGAAATATGTTTGCGTAAATTAAGTGACTCCTAGTTAGGTTAATAGCTATAATTACAGAAAAGAATTTATTTAATAAGCAAATGTAATTTGATTAAAAGTTTTAATTAAAATTTCAATTTGAATTTATTACTAGTCATATTCTGGTGAGTGGCATTTTTCGCAACTGTGGCAGTCTATAATATGCAGTCGCCGTTATGTATGCAAGACAGTGTACAAGTTAATGAATAAACTTATTATATGAAGTTATCCAACTATGTCATGCATTTTAATTATCTCGGCAAATGTCCCTGTAACTGCTGGACAAATGGCGTCCTTAGCTTAGAGGTCTAAGTCCCTGGCATCAAATTAGTTCTAGTAGGGCTTTTGATTCTTGCCATGGAATTTTGATTCTTTCATGTACAGAGACTAGCTAACATAATGGTTGGGTGTTTTACTTGGTTGCATTGCTCGATGTGAAATACTACTCCAAGGGTCATCAGGGGTCTTCCTCCCCCTGTAAAGCTGGAAATTTGTCATTTAACCCTTAATTGTGTCAGTCTGACTTAGGGACTTTTGATTCTTTCTTGTGAGGCCGTTATCCAGCTTGCTGAAAGAACGTCGGTGGTTTTTCTCAAGTGCCTGTATGTGCCTTAAATAATGCACTTAGGGGCGCCTCAGGTCTTCCTCCACCGTAAAAGCTGGAAAGTTGCCATATGACCTTTATGGTCTTGGTGCTACTTAAAACGAAACCAAAAAAAACCACAAAAAAAACAAATTAAAAACTCAATCCAAAACAGAACTGGTTTTGCTGGATAAATATAAAAGGTGTTGGTATGCTAGGTACCACCCAAATTATTTTTTTCAATAATTATTCATTTGGTAAAATGAATTGTACTTCATGTAGAAATAGTCTTGATGATCGGTTATTCTTTATGTTCATCGGAAATAATTTTGGAAATAGCTACATATTAAAGTTGTTAAGTAAAATAAGTTTTTATTGAAAATATAATTAATGGCTTCAGCCTAAAAGTTAAAAAGAAAAAAAGTAACTTGTTTTTTAAGGGGTTTTATGGTTTCTTTATTTATATACAGTTATACACAAGGGAAATACATGCATAATACAGTGTATGATTAAAAGAAATAGCAACAATATACATATACATTGAGAAAACAACAACAAAAAATAAAAAAATGAGAACAACAAATCAGTATAACTGGCTGAGTTTGTCACATAATTAAGATGGATAAAACTAGAAAAGAGTAAAAATAAAACACATTGTTTACACAAGATAATTCAGTTGTTAAGATTGGTCTGAAAATGTCAAAATTAATACGACTAGCCATTTAAAGGAACTTCCCTTAAAACATAAAATTTGAAATTCTTACATAGATCAACCATGGCACTTAAAAGGGAATAATATAGAGAAGATATTGAAGAAATATAATCAGAATTAAATAATAACATTGAAAATTGATCATAAGTGCAATTTTTATCCTGATATGAGTAAATATCATTTAAATTTTAGGTCATTTTGCGCACTAAAAATGGTTATTTTGGAAAAATGGAGTGAACAAATGATCACATGTTATCGGCATAGATCTGCATCACATGGTATAAGAATCTAAAAAAAAATATTCCCATTCCTGTTATGTCATAAAACCATAAAGAGGCATTATTCACACATTGTTTTCTTCTCAGAGTATGCAGTTGCATGTATGTCAAATCAAGATAATTTTTTTGTTGTTGTGAAATAAGGAAAGCAGGAAAAATTCATAAAAAAAAAAACTAAGAGAAATTTACAACACATTTTTGTAGTCATTTGTAAATATTGTATTGGTTTTGGGAAAAAATAGGTAATTTTGCTTTCGGAAACTGGCACAATTTCCAGACAAACTGCGATATTATTTGTATATTTTCAAAAATTATTTATTAATTATTTCAAAACACATTATTGTTGTATCCATAGTGATGAGGTGGTTGATTCACAATTCTTCCTTACAGAATGTCCTCATTCCTGTCACCTCCTTACAGTAGTCATCTATTAACTTATATTCCTGTAAATAAAACATAAACCATCATTATCCCCCACCTAGTTAAATAATAGACTTGTCCTGATATCAATTTGGAACTGTTCATTGTTAATTAGAGGGATTTCGATAATAAATTTACTTAAATTAAACAGCAAACAGTGAAGAACTTCATTATTATCCCCCACCTAGTTAAATAAATAATAGACTTGTCCTGATCTCAATTTGGATCTGTTCATTTTAATTAGAGGGATTTTGATAATGAATATACATATACTTAAATTACACAGCAAACAGTGAAGAACTTCATCATTATCCCTCACCTAGCTAAATAATTGACTTGTCAAGATCTCGAATTAGGAAGTGTTCATTGTTAGTTAGAGGGATTTCGATAATAAAATTACAGGTACATAGCAAACAGTGATGATCTTTATCAGATTGCATGAAAATACAGTTTGGCCTTATACAGTACTGATGGCTTCCGGATATAAGTAGTGAGGTGTCTTTGTTGCTGATTTGTTAAGTTGATGAGTTTTGATTACACGCTCTTCATTGTTGTGAGTTTAAATTTTGGAAAAAATTGATGCCAGTAAGACTTAGCAGTTATATATCTAACTTTATAATAGTTGGTGGCACTCCTCTGCTTATGCTTCATTAGTATCATTATTAGCATGAAAATTGTCATATATGACCTAAACAGTGATGGTATAGCACACACTGAATTTATAAATGCCTTGAATCTTAACTGTTCAAAACACACATAACAGGATGGGTACAACTATGATAGGATAATTCATTTTCATGAATACTGATTTGAAGAACTATAGTCACACTTGTATTATATTTACCCTGCTGAATTTTTGTTATGAATTTGCCCCGATTTGAAATAGGATATCCAGTCAAAGTTTAAGGGAATTCAAAATCAAAAGTTCAAAAAAGAGCTACCAACAGTATAGAGCCTGGTCGGACTACGCAGATAATTATGTCGGCTTGCCTGGCTCTATAGTGGAGTCAAAGCTTATCACTTCCTGTCTCAGTGTGTCTCAGCAGGGTGAGGGTAAAGATGGCGTAGAGTTAATTTAGAGTCGTACCTGTATAAGTTGTCCTCGGTCATTGATATAATGCTCTATTGTATGAGGACAAATATGGCTGTCTACAGGTTTCATATGATGAATCATTTTACCATCTTTCCATTCCACTGTAATCTGAATTTACATAAAAAATATACATGGCCTTGAACCCTAAATGACCTTGACTTTCAAGGTCAGATTAGATATTTCTCCACAATATTCATATTTATTAATTGATTTAGTTTTACAAATACACATTCATTTACAGTCATATACAAACGTATACAAATGTACATTAATTTACAGATTTTCAAATAAAATATCAAGAGCTTCCAAGTCACCATCATCATCATCAACTAGGTATATTTAGCATATAAAAAAACCCAACTTACTTTAAATACAACTCCTTTGGGTTCAAACATAAACTCCTCATTTAATTTGAATTCACATTTTGCATTCTCCTCTGGCCGGGTACCAGGATGTGGCAGGTTCTCCATCTTGATAAAGTCCCCTTCCACAGAAAATACGAGCTTCGGTGTACTGGTCAGCATGTATTCTTTCTCTACATCAGACGCCCCTATGGAAAGAAAAGGAAAAAAGTGAAATTTTCCTTTGTTTTTCATATCTTCTGCTTTATTTCCCTCCTTTAGGTTAATCAACATCAAAACTCTTGAGCATTTAATGCTTCCTGGTGACTCTAGCAGGCAATCCAAGGATCATGTATTTGATAACCGCGCTACTCCATTTAAAAGCGTCAACAGTCTTTTGGAATGAACTTTTAACCCTTTGTCTGCTATTAGCCACTGATTCTACCCATGAGACCAGAGCAGACCATCTGTGCAGACCGGTTATGGTCTGCACTGACCTCTATTGTGTACTTTTTACTGTACTTATTATAAAAATTTTCCTCAAAAAAAAAAAGTATTGGTTTAGTCCAGAATTTTTCATTTACTTTTAGGAAATTGTCAAGAATCTAGAGTGCAGGACAAAAACTCACACACAGACGATAAGCTTTTGTCAGGGACTGCTTGTGTGTGACTCACTAAGATCTTTGTTAAAGTATTGAGATCAATATTTGGTATTTTATGATCTATTACTGCTGGAACAATACAATAACTGCATAATTAATGCAATTGCTATGATACTTTATGTATATACTTGTAATAGAGTGCATTTCATAGAATATTATGAAAATAATCATTTTTTTATGAATTTATATGTATTGAACTCGATACAGTGTTGGAGCAGTACATCTAGACAATTACTGTACAGATATCATCATCACTAAGTAGACAAATATCACTTTTTTCATGGATTTGTACATTTTTTCATTCATTTTCGTACATAAATTGATTTGAAAGATGAATAAGACATCTCAAAATGCATTTTAGCGGGTGAAAAGGCAAGATTTTAGCATTTAAACATTCAAGTGTCTTGTCTGGAATATACCAGAATACGGTATTTAGTGTGGTGTTCCAATCCTTTTTTTTTAGTTTCACTCAATTTAAATAGGGAAAAGAAAAAGTTAAACAAAGTTTACAGAAGGAATGACATTGTGTTACAAACATGTATATATTAAATTTTGTAATAAAGAATAAGTTTTAAAAAATAGATACAGTTATACATGTACATAAGGCTCATACTTTTTTTATATCTGCTTGTTGGTAAATTGTTCAAATTAGCACATCTTGTCTAATAATTATATCACATAATCATTACCATGGTAACAGGTATTATACAGTTTTATTGAAAACAGGGTTATTAGCAAGAATCTTGATGTTCAACATGACTTTGCCATGAGTGGATTTTATAAGACCAGGCTCTGAGGTTATAAAGAAATTCTCTAAGCTCAAATCTCAAGTATTTGATTGGTCAGAAACTGTCACAGAATGTACACTGACCAATGAAAATCCAGATATTTGAGACAGAACTCAGACCTCTAGGCCAAGATGGCATCATGCAGCACTGAAGTGCCAAGTCTGATGTATTTTCATAAAATTTATGGGAACCAAATACAAGAAGTGTATTGAGATACCTAAGTCCTTTAAAGGAACTCCACTGAGGTCCAAATGCCTAAAAAAACACATAAAATTTGAATTTCTAACAAATGAGCAGCTGGGGCACTTAAAACAGAAAATATGCCATAAAGTTAGGAATTATAAATTTAAAATCATATTTTTGTGCTATTCTTAGCCCAATTTTTGTGAAAAGCATTTTTAATTTTGGGTCTTTTTTTTCATAGTTAGAATGATCATTCTAGAAACAGGAGCGAGTAAATGATCTGAAATGTTGCACACAAGTTACTGGTTAAGACCTACATCAAATGTAACACAATCTTGGAAAATTCTTTCCAGTCCGATCATGTTAAACAGTGCTCGAGTCCCTTTAACATTGACCATCCTCAGTCCCATAATGTAATGGCATTACGTCAACAACTTTATCGTGAATCACACTCCTATACAATACAGATTTTCTTTCTTCACTTGTGATAATTGTAGTTAATTAGCGATATGTATATATATAAATATTATAAAAATAATCTTACCAACTGCGTTGAAGAAGTTAGGTAAAAGGTCATCTTGTTTGTGAAGCCAGGTTCCAGTAAACAGTTTCTTTATTTCCTCCATTCTTTCACAACTTGTTGAAATCTTGAAATAAGTGTCAGTCCAGAGTAGTTTAATTATTTCACACTTATGTTTCTGTAAAATAAAAAATTGTTGAATTTTTTAATAAAATTATCTGATTTGGAATGAATAAGAAGAATCTTCAAAAAAAAATTATCTTACATATGAAAAAAGACAAGTAAATTTTTTATGATTTTATGAAGAAGAGAAAAGCTGTTTACAGTTAAATGTAAAATGTCTGTGATTTTAGTATCCAGTAAAAGGAAATAACCATAGTAATTGTGTTGATATTTTAATAAATTATACTATGAAAAATTTCAATTTATCTAAATGTTAATCTCTTTAGCAGCAGAAGAGATATGTGCATCTTTCGAACCAAATTTTCAGACTGGCCGATATTGAGTGCTGAAAAAAAACCAACAATGTCTGGCATTAATTAATCTTTCACAATTTAAGACAATGGTAATTGTAATTATATCTTTTGACGCAGATTTCCCCGTCACATGTGTAAGTGGAATACCTCTGTGATTCAGTATTGTCACGTGTGATTGCTCAATAATTAATCACATTATGCAGCCAGTGTTCATATGAATCTTTACTAAAAACTATCAATACATTGCACTAGTGAAACTGTCTATTGAATTACGTCCTTTCTTTTATCAGCATGTAATGCCTCTTTTCTGCACTAAATTTCCTTTCCTTTATCCCTTTCTTTTACTTTCTCTCCTTCTTTTACTTGTTTTTTTTTCAAATTTCTCAAATCATGCAGTTCGTGATTGGGTAATTTTAGGTATAATCCGTTCACATTTTTATTTGGTCGCCTTTTTCTTGTTTAAACAAAACCTTGAAAATTTATAATGATAGATTAACATTCACTTGTTTCTTCTTTCCTTCTTTTTATTTTTATTTTAATTCCCTCAGTTTATCACGTCATTAAACTTTATTATATTTCCTCATTACCTTTCTACATTAATTGTAGGAAAGTTAGGGTTTAATATTGATAAATTATGTATTATATCTCCGGGTAGTTCAATACATATTGATTTATTGGTTTTGGATATTGGATAAAAACGTACCTTATATTTGCCACATTAAAAATTGTTATGATTAAAGTTTCGTAAGATTTTATTTCTATCAAACAATCGATATTGTGAAAGTTTTATAGGATAGTTTTTTACTTTGGGTTATTGAAGGTTATGTTAGGAGATATAAATTGTTATAGTTGTAAATAATGGTTATACATGAAGTTAAGGACCTCCCTTAAGAAATGAAATTGTTTGCAGGTCCTAACAAATATGTAGACAACTTGGTTTGCAGATTTTAAGGAAAGGGGTGGAAGTTAAAAATGTAGGAATTTATTTTGAGGGTAGTGAAGACTTGGCATACATAACTGTGTTGTCTGTTTGGAAAAAGTCTTTATTATTATCATTATTAATACTATTAGTTTTGTTATTATTGGTGAAATGGGTTTAATTAAAGGGAAAACGTCAAAAGTAAAAATAAATAATCAATATTTATGTTCAATTTTAAGTAGATTTATGTAATTCTATTTTTACTTTTGAGTTTTTAGCTCCCCTGAGCTGGCTCAGAACGAGCTTCTAGGATTGTTAAATGTCCATCATCCGTCCACATTCATTAACACTTTAGTGGTCACATTTTGGCCTCAATTGTCATCAAACATGATCTGGATGTTTGTTCAACTTAATGCTTGGATGAGTTTGGACATGGTTCATCACGAATGAAAAAAAACTAGGTTACAGGAGCTAAAAATAGAAAAATCTTGTTAACAGTAGTGGCTACTGTTTTGGTTTAGATATCCTGGAAATTGGTCATAGAGATTGTTTTGATGATTTTTATGTCAAGTTTGAATATGGGTCACCTGGGGTTAAAAACTAGGTCAAACTGTCCAAATATGGAAAAATCTTGTTAACACTCTAAAGGCTACTGTTTTGATTTCCGTTTTGATCCAAATATCCTGGTCATTTATCAGAAAGGTAGTTTTGATGATTTCTAGCTTTAATTCGAATATGGGTCATCTGGGGTCAAAAACTAGGTGACAGCACAGGTGAAGGCAAAACCTTATTACATTTGCACTATTTCAGGTGCAGATATGAACATTAAGATATCAGTTTAAGTGTATGACATTATATCTGCTTTTCATTCATTGCTAACAATATTAAATTAAGAGCCTTAATAATCAAGTGAGCAATATTAGGGCCATCATGACTCTCTTGTTTATGCTTATTATTAATTAAAATTTTGCTATTAAAAGAAAATATAAATGTGTATTTATTTCCATCCTCATGTAATTATTTATTTAAATTACCATTATTAAATACAGCAAAATCAGTTAAAACAAATTTATTTATTAAATCTTGATGTGGTTAAAACAAGCTTTAAGCTTAAAGGAACTCCACTGAGGTCCAAAAGTCTAAAAACATAAATTTTGTATTTTTAACGTAAGTCAACAGGGACACTAAAGACAGAAATTTTCTCAAAAATAATAAGAAATATACACAGAAATAGATCGAAATTTTTGTGCTATTCTTAGCCCGGTTTGAGAATAATTATTCTGAAAAAATTGAGCGGAAAATATTCTTTCCAGTCCAGTCATGTCAAAAAATCTCAGTGGATTTCCTTTAAGTAAACCACTATCAAAGTCATTTCTTTAAACTATTCAGTACTACCTACAAATGAGAAAGTACAGTTGTGCTTCCAGTATAAAGAATCTGTTAATTACAACGATTTAAAATTGAACAACCAACAGAATATAGAGCCTAGCATGACCTTAACAGTTTCTGTAAATTTAAAACCCAAGTCATGTAAAGGCCCTGGTCAGACAGGGCGATATGCTAGCGGCATAGGCAGTTCAATACAGGTCATTATGACTGCCAGCACATTAACGGAAATGATAAAGTACTTTGATATCATAGCCATCTGGTTAGCTCAATAGGTAGAGCATTGGACTGTGAATCGGGCGACTCAGGTTCGATTCCCGGATGGCGCAGGTCACTTTCATGGTGATTGATCATGAAATCCTTTCTACGGTCATTTGCACTGTACCTCTACTCTTACATGTACAGAAGTTTCAGTTTCTTGTGAAAGTGAAGGCAACTGGTACTGGTAAACTGCTTGACAGCCTGCCAGGAATGATGCGGTGGCTGAACTGTGCTCTGGTAAATTCAGTGTGGCTGACTGCCATGATCCAGAGTGAAAACGACCAACACCACCACCAACATTATACTTGGTTGTTTTATTTCAGGGTACGGCTGATGCCAAGACGGCTCTGAGAGCAGCAAAGAAAATGTAAGTCATCTGTAAAATTTGAAAAACCATAGCTACATTATATTTTACATAATTAGAAATTACATTTCTTGATAAGTTACATGCCATTGTCCAAAGAATCTACCAAGATCTAGTTCAACAGATAATAATCTTGATTTGTTTAGCAGATTATATTGATAACATCAGGCTGAAAAACATGGACGGTATTTTGTTTGTATTAAAAGCTGGTAATTTGCATAAAACTTTTGATGAATTAAATCTGATTTTTAGTCCCCTACCGGTTTAACCGGAGGGGACTTCAGGTTTACCCTCCGTCTGTCTGTCTGTCAGTCTGTCAGTCCACAAAACTGGATCCCGCGATAACGCATAAAGTACTAAAAATATTTTTATGAAACTTGGTATATTGATGAATGGCAGTATGGAGATTATGCACGTTTTTTTCTTATCTTCTTATGTTGAAAATTCTGGTTGCTATGGCAATAAATAGACTGAAAATATGGCAAATTTTAAACATAAACTTGATCCAGTGATAACGCAAAAGGTACTGAAAATATTTTTATGAAACATAAAATATGGGTAGATGGCAGTCTGCAGATTATGCACATCTTTTTCTTTTCTTCCTATGTTGAAAATTCTGGTTGCTATGGCAACAAATAGCCTGGATTTCAAGATTTTTGATTTAATTTTTTCAGCTTTTTCACTATAAGTTCTTTATTTCTTAAGGTGTTTACTTCAAACTTTAAATATAAGTTTCTGGTCATCAACCACATCATATGTGACAAGGTTTACAACTCTAGCACAAAAATTATCAGTATTACCTCCCTTGAACTTAGAATTTTATGAAAAAAAAAGTTGTCTTTTTAAATAACTTCTTTATTTCCTAATGTATCTACTTCAAACTTCATATATATGTTTCTTTTTATCACTCAACATTTTTGAGAAGGTTAAATACTCTAGCAAGGCTATTTCCAGAATTATGTCCCCCTTGAACTTAGATTTTTTTCGAGAAATTGGTATTTTTTACTGCAACTTCTTCATTCCTTATAGGATTTACTTTAAAATCCAACATCGTAATAATATGACAAGGTTGTATAAACATAATTGCCTTACTAGGCAGGGAAACTTAACACATTACTGTGAAATAGACAAACTTAGAACTCAAAAGATTTAAGTTCTTTCATGTCATTCATTCACTGGTAAATGTTGCTGGGGTTCTAACCGGTAGGGGACTTATGGATTGCTTGCAATACTATGATAATTGCTTGTTATTTGATGAAATTAGGATGAAAACTTGCATTTGTATATAACCTCGAACCCAGGTCTGAAGTGTTTATTGATGATATTTTACTCAAACCATTGTTAATGGATCTTTAGTCTCTGTGTAAGTTTAAAAATCATTTAATTAAGTACAATTGTAGTTTATGAGTTTTTGAACCTTCATAAAGACCCCTTTCTGTAAATAAGCTCAGTACTGGTTTCACAGCAGTATCATTATGGCCCCAGTATGGCTCGAACAGAAGATCCCTGGGTTGGGAGGCAGATATCCAATCCACTAAGCCACCATTTTACTTTTTCTGACAATTAGTTTTAGAAATCAAGCCACCATTTTACTTTTTCTGACAATCAGTTTTAGAAATTGAATTAAAATTATGACTTTTATATTGTTATATCTTTTAAAAACAAACTTGATATTTGATAGATTTTAATAATATGTCCTGCAAAAGTAAAAATAATTGGTGTTTTTTTGGGGCCTATTTTGTTGACAATTGTAGAAATGTTACATAAACACTTTAAAAACATATGATATTTTCAGTAATGTTTGTAAATTAAATCAACATTTGCTGACATATTAAATATTGTTGTTGTTTACAGAGAGAATGATGTTTCAGCTATTGATGTAAATATGGGATGCCCTAAAGAGTTTTCTATAAAGGTTTAATTTTATCTGTATTTTATATTCAGTATAAGCATCAATGTCTATCATTTACTCTTAGTGGTGTCAACCTTTAGTGGTGTCATCCTTTAGGTGGTGTCAACCTTCAGTGGTGTTTGCTACTGATTCTATCTATGTGACGAGTACATACCAAAATCAGCCGGCACAACTTTGCTGTCTGGTCATGGTCAGCATTGTTGGCTATTCATTCAATACATTCATTTCTGTATTTTGAAATTTTACCTAAAGATTATCAATTGTTTTGTCCAAAGTGAAAGGAGGACAAGTTCATTTATTTGACTTAAGCATTCTGAATACTTGACTGTGATTTACATTTTGATTGCGTACTTAATGAGTATGTTACATTTGAGTGTGATATTTAATTCATTTGACTGTGTAGTAATGAGTAAAGTAAGTTTAACTGTAAAGCATTGTATATGTAACTATATTTTTCAGGGTGGAATGGGGGCTGCATTACTCAAGAAACCAGAGAAAATTAAAGAGGTATGTAACTTTACATCTGATTGCTTGCCTCTCAACCCAGGGATTGTGGGTCAAAGTCTTACTAGGTTCACAAACATGCTTTTTTATATGACAGAACTATTGGTTAGTCCCAGGTAGCAGATTTAGAAGTGATAGATAAATGTTGCAAGAATTTTATAGTGGAGCTAAAAATAACTAAGTATGTAAAAACTTAGTGTAATGAAGTTGACTTTTATTTTCAAAGGGATACTCAGGCAAATTTATGACAAAAATATAAAAAATGATCTTGTGTACTGAAACCATGCTAAAATGACATTTTTAAAGTCCCAGCATAAAAGTCTGTATAAATTCTTTATATTTTGGGTTCTGAGCATAAATATATCTATATATGTTGAACGAAATTAAGACCCCGACAGAATTACCAAGTAGTTTTAAAACAAGCCATGTGACTTGAACAAACCCTGGAAGTTACAATAACAGATATTATGGATATTGTATGATTGAAACAAGCCTATGTTATTCATTTGACATGTTCTTTATCGTTTCACTGTGTCAACTATTGTGTAATTTTGACCCACGTAGGTCAAGCTAGGAAACAACCATTTTATTCTTTGTAAAGAGAAATGTTTTGTTTCTGTGACTGCCTAGTGTATTAATTTTGAGGAAATTTACAGAAAAATGAATGAAAAATTCAAAATGAAGAAATGAAAATTTTGCCTTTGTCTCCCTTTAATGAAGAATTAGCAAATGTTTATGAAAATATTTAGTTGACTGATATAAAAATTGATTTATTATGGTTTTGTTAAAGCTTAAGGCAGAAGGAAGAAAAGTCTTTTGATACATAAGTAAAAATGTTATTTAAATACACCTAACCCTTAAAGTGTTGAACAATAAAATTGTTTGACAAAAGTGTTTAACACTTAAAGTGTTTGACAGGGAAACTACACACTTACAATTGATGGTTCCAAAATCAAGGCAGGATAAGTCCATTACACAAAGTTAGGAAAGTGAAAATTTAAAATCACTATATTATACTTGTGTTTCAGATATTAACCACCTTGGTACAGAATGTTAAAATACCAGTGACATGTAAAATCCGACTGCTACCAGAGGTAATGTATCATAATACTATAATATATTGTTTATCATGAAAAAGGTTCAATTATAGGAGTTATATTGATAATTTTTTATGGCAAAATTTGAATCAAAGATGCTTAACACTTGCTTAATCTATATCACCATAGAAAAAACAGTCTTAACCCATTGCTTCATGAGCATTTTGTGAAAAATGGCTGTTTTCATTGAAAAGTCTCCCGTTACAAGTTCAAATTGCTATAATACTTGGCACAAATGTTGACTGGACCATTGTCCTTGCAACAACATGCTCAGACTTAAATTTTCTGTTACCATGGCAACGAGGGGACATCTCAAAATTGCCAAAAATCACTATTTTGCGTTGATTTTTTCCATCAAAATTGATTTCAAAGTGCTGCAACTTATCAATGGATTGAGATAGAGTCAAATGCTTTTCAGCGTTGGTTACACGTTACCTTATGATCAATCTGGGGTCATTTACAGCCTCTCACAAGTCCAAAATTTTCTTGGCGATGAGGGGGACTCCGCCCCCCTTCAAACCCCCCAAACAGAAGGGGGCACATCCCCCTTCTGGCAACCCCCTGATGTATCTTTTGGTTGGGGGGCCGCGCCGAAAAAGAGGTCACTTTTTTTAACAACATTTCTCAAACAAAAACAAGTGTTTGGGGCCTAAATAAGGCATTTTTTCATCATTTGAGACAACAAAAAGGGGGGGGTGAAAAAGGCGTTAAAAGGCGTGTATATGAAGTAATGGGTTAACTGAAAATGATGAAAATACTTGAAATTACCCTAAATCGCGTTTTTTCATGTTTAAACATGGCCTGTCATATAAATTTGAAGAAAAATTGTTGTTTTGTAGATTTTTTTATTTTTTTCATTAACCCATTGCTTCATGAGCATTTTGTGAAAAATGGCTGTTTTCATTGAAAAGTCTCCCGTTACAAGTTCAAATTGCTATAATACTATAAAAACTGCTTCAACACTAATCAAACTTGGCACAAATGTTGACTGGACCATTGTCCTTGCAACAACATGCTCAGGCTTAAATTTTCTGTTACCATGGCAACGAGGGGACATCTCAAAATTGCCAAAAATCACTATTTTGCGTTGATTTTTTCCATCAAAATTGATTTCAAAGTGCTGCAACTTCTCCATGGATTGAGATAGAGTCAAATGCTTTTCAGCGTTGGTTACACGTTACCTTATGATCAATCTGGGGTCATTTACAGCCTCTCACAAGTCCAAAATTTTCTTGGCGATGAGGGGGACTCCGCCCCCCTTCAAACCCCCCAAAACAGAAGGGGGCACATCCCCCTTCTGGCAACCTTCTGATGTATCTTTTGGTTGGGGGGCCGCGCCGAAAAAGAGGTCAATTTTTTTAACAACATTTCTCAAACAAAAACAAGTGTTTGGGGCCTAAATAAGGCATTTTTTCATCATTTGAGACAACAAAAAAGGGGGGGGGGTGAAAAAGGCGTTAAAAGGCGTGTATATGAAGTAATGGGTTAACTGAAAATGATGAAAATACTTGAAATTACCCTAAATCGTGTTTTTTCATGTTTAAACATGGCCTGTCATATAAATTTGAAGAAAAATTGTTGTTTTGTAGATTTTTTTATTTTTTTCATTAACCCATTGCTTCATGAGCATTTTGTGAAAAATGGCTGTTTTCATTGAAAAGTCTCCAGTTACAAGTTCAAATTGCTATAATACTATAAAAACTGCTTCAACACTAATCAAACTTGGCACAAATGTTGACTGGACCATTGTCCTTGCAACAACATGCTCAGACTTAAATTTTCTGTTACCATGGCAACGAGGGGACATCTCAAAATTGCCAAAAATCACTATTTTGCGTTGATTTTTTCCATCAAAATTGATTTCAAAGTGCTGCAACTTCTCAATGGATTGAGATAGAGTCAAATGCTTTTCAGCGTTGGTTACACGTTACCTTATGATCAATCTGGGGTCATTTACAGCCTCTCACAAGTCCAAAATTTTCTTGGCGATGAGGGGGACTCCGCCCCCCTTCAAACCCCCCAAAACAGAAGGGGGCACATCCCCCTTCTGGCAACCCCCTGATGTATCTTTTGGTTGGGGGGCCGCGCGAAAAAGAGGTCAATTTTTTTAACAACATTTCTCAAACAAAAACAAGTGTTTGGGGCCTAAATAAGGCATTTTTTCATCATTTGAGACAACAAAAAAGGGGGGGGGGTGAAAAAGGCGTTAAAAGGCGTGTATATGAAGTAATGGGTTAATATCGTCGCTTTTTGAAGTCTGAGGGTAAAGATCAACATTTAGTAACGCAGCCGCTATAACAACACAATTTAGATGAATGAGACACACTGGTGTAGCACCCAGTGAAATAAAGTAAGGGAATAGAGCAACAAAGTGACATGGAAGAAAGAGGTTATAGGTTATAAACTCTTTTTAGAAGGCAAATACATACACATTTTAGGGTAAAAACATGTTTGTGAAGGCATATACATATGTTTTAGGGCAAAAGCACATTTAAGAAGGCAAAATCACATTTTGTGGCAAAAGCACAGTTAAGAAGGCAAAAACGAGTTTTAGGGCAAAAGCACAATTAAGGTATTAGGACCCTAATGGGCACTATAAGGAACTGAAAAATTGACATCATAGGTCAGATGTATACCTTAAAGTACACCTGTATGCAAAATTTAAACAAAGTTTACCGTACGGAAATCAAGTTATGGCAACTTTTCTGAACTCAAGCTAGGATGTTATGAGGGCCCTTTTTAAGTTATGGCCACTTTCTGAACTCAAGCTAGGATGTTATGAGGGCCCTTTTTTAGAAATGAGGAACCTTTAAATAATCTGCAATAACTTTCTAATGAAAAATGTTTTCCCATTAATTTTTAGTAAGAAACAAATAGTACCATTCAGCTAACAATCCACATAAGCAAAATTATGGTTTCTACATAAAATTTATGAAATCTGTATAAAAATGTTACCCTACCCCACCCATTTTTACCACGTGTCTGACCATTTTTCTACTTAGGGAGCCTAATTTAAAAAATTCTTAAAATTTACCCAACTGAGTGCCTGTTTTCAAAGTTTCCCTAAATTTTCAAAAAAGTATATTGGTTGATCTTGTAAAATATGAAATACTTTTACCGTCTAGTTTTGATTATATTACACTTTGAAAATATCAGGTGTTATATTTATTACTAGATTTAGCATAATTTAGCCAATAAATACCTATATAAATTAAAAAATCAAAATTAAACACTTTCTTCTTTCCAAATGGGACATGAGAGATACATAAATAATATTAAAAGAAAAAAAGAAAGAAAAAAAAAGTTGACCCTTCTGGGGATTGAACCCATGGCCCTCATTTTCAATGTAGTTAACAGTAGTTCTAGCCTATTTGAATACTCTTCAATGCGGAGGTAATGCATTAGGGTGCTAATACCTTAAGAAGGCAAACACACAAGTTTTAGGGCAAAAGCACATTTAAGAAGGCAAAAACACAAGTTTTAAGGCAAAAGCACATTTAAGAAGGCAAAAACACAAGTTTTAGGGCAAAAGCACAATTAAGAAGGCAAAAACACAAGTTTTAGGGCAAAAGAACATTAATGAGGGCAAAAAGACAAGTTTTGAGGCAAAAGCACAATTAATAAGGCAAAAACACAAGTTTTAGGGCAAAAGCACATTTAAGAAGGCAAAAGCACAAGTTTTGAGGCAAAAGCACAATTAAGAAGACAAAAACACATGTTTTAGGCAATAGCTGGAATCATTTAAAAAGGCAAAAGCACATGTTGATAAAGTTAATGGTTAATACATACATGTATTTAGAATATCGCAGCTTACATACACTAACCCTTAGCCTGCTTGCGACAACTTATTTTACCCATGCAACCAGTGCAGACAAAGATAAGCTAGCATGTTAAGTGTAGCATTTAATGACGGGTTGGTTGATATTGACTCTAGTGATAAAAATTTAGCAATTTTCATCAATTCGCTAAATTTGCCAACATTTCTGCATCCATAACCACTTATACAGTAAAAAAAACAACAACAAAAACAACATGTGACTCATTGACCATACCTCATAACTTACATCATTTATTTACGAAAACAAAACTTTTAAAATGTCAAAACAAAATGTCACATTCAATAATGGAATATCTAATTGAATGTTTTTCATCTTTTGACTACCTAGGGTAACAAATACATTTGTATTACCATTTGATAATAATTAAGCTATGTAGTTTTAGCGACTTGTTTTTCTTACGTTTCCAAGAGAAAGCACATGTTATCAATCATGTGACTCAGAACTTGTCTTAGAATGACGCATTTGTGATCTACATGTACGTAATAAAATGAGCTGTGTCATGACAAAACCAACATAATGGGTTTGTGACCAGCATGGATCCAGACCAGCCTGCGCATCCGCGCAGTCTGATCAGGATCCATGCTGTTCGCTTATCAAATCTATTACAAGTGGAGAAACTGACAGCGAACAGCATGGATCCTGATCAGACTGCGCAGATGCGCAGGCTGGTCTGGATCCATGCTGGTCGCAAACCCATTATGTTGGTTTTGTCATGACACGGCTCAAATAATGTTTATAAGATATAAGATGTCATCAAATACTGACAATTTGATAAAATTGATAATGAAATTAATATGTAAATGTCATGGATTTAATATATAATTTCTGTTTCCTTTTGAATTGTCCAAAATTTGAAAAAGTTAGAAAATATTAATAAGGAAGTTGGCAACTTTTCCTGTTATGTTTCACAAATATATTTAATATTTGTATACAATATTTTTTCAATTTATTTGAAACTTTAAAAATATCTGCATTTCTTGTATTATGTAGATTGTGTATATTATTGTCTTTCAAGAATAACCTACAAAACTGAGATTTTACATCGTTATTTATCATGCAACTGGCAACTTTTTGGGTCAGAATCGACATATTATGAATATTGCAGTTAGAGGACAATATCTCCCTCGTAAAGATGATAGAAAGTACAGGGGTGTCCGCTATTGGGATACATGGTAGACTGACAGAAGAGAGGCCGAGGCATACAAACAGAAATGCTACCATTAAAAAACTGGCACAAATTTTAAATATACCAGTGATTGCCAAGTAAGTATGTGTAATGTCTTGGGCCATATTGGCTGCACAAAATGTAAGTTCGACTTAAGAACATGTGGAGAAATTGGTAAATACAGTAGAACTTCTACATGTCCAACTTAGATCAACTGGTTTTCTTGATGTATTGAAGTAAAATAAAAGTCCCAATGGTTTTCCCTTTAGGCCTATATATTATTTACTAAAAACAAATGACTTTTTTAAAGCGTAATTAAATTCTGTGCAAACTAAGTTTCATATTTTCAAAACAACACAGACTTAAATGGAAAAAAAGTTAAATATTTCCCATATTTTCACTACAGTAATGGATTGAATAGAATTAAGATTTATATTTTCACTACAGTAATTGTTGACAATAAGTGAAAATAAGGTTTCATATATTTAATCAAGTGGTGGAGCTATAGGTAATATTTTCTTTTTCCACTGAATTAATGAATTGTGTAGAAATATGTATCATAATTTTTACTACAGTGGGGGATCGAAAGAAATACAATGTTACGATGATATAGAGAAGTTCCGACAGTCCTGTGGTACGACGTCTGTAATGATAGCTAGGGCGGCAGAATGGAATACTTCGGTGTTTAGAAAAGAGGGAAAGCTACCTGTCAAAGATGTAGTTAAAGAATATTTGAAAAAAGTATGTTGATAAGTTTGATTAAAAAAAAAAGATTTTTTTTTTTGTATGATCCTTGATCTTTTTCATTGGAGCGTAATTTTATAGTCAGTGGCTTTGTCCTTTACATACATCTTTTGGACACATTTGTAAATTCTTATTTTCATTTCCTGACTGATAAGTTAGATATTTGGTGCATTGGTACGTCATAACGAACTCACCCTTTGAGTATGATGTCAGATGATAAACTGGGTCAAGGTCACTGAGTCTAAAAATAGATTTTCCTTCTTTTCATCACTTTTCGCTCTGTCAGAACGACATTTGGAAATGTTCATCAGTGTGATCACTATTCTTTTTGTTACATTTTTGAGTTTGTCTTTTATTGAACCGTAGTGACTAAATTCATGCGTGTGCCGTATGATCATTCTATTCAGTCAGTACATATTTTGAAACTTTCCTTTAAAATGATGAATGGTTTTGTCCAAATTGAAAGATGGTATAAGTCCATTTAACATAATTAGTGGAGTGGAGGGTTTTGAAATCAAACTCTTTTTTTTTGTATTATGCTTACCAATTAATGTAATAATACCAATTAATGTTTTAATGAAAAATGTAACAATTTACCTAACATTTTTAAGATTAACAAATGTATATGTTTGATGTATGTTCACAGAGAAAATCTAGTTTAAAAACTTTGCGCTATACAAATAATATCAGGAGAAATATTTCAATATTTATGCCACTATTTGAAACTTGATGCTGCATTAAAAGTGGACCAAATTTTAAGTTTTCTTTCTTTAGCAAAAACAAAACATCCTGTTAATTAAGACTTTCAATATATATATCGCCACAAAATGGTCAAGGGGTGCAAAAAATTTGAATCAAAGAGGAATTTGTTTAATTCAGTGACATTATATATTCTGAAATAGGGCCATGTATATGATAAATTTGTTTTCTTCACTTTCTGCATAGTTCTATACCTTTAACTAGTTGATAGGATATTTATCCCCCATATTAAATTTATTTTGGGAAACTCAGTAAACTCCGCTTAAAATGATATTCAGGGAACCGCCAAATTTATTTTGGTATGTCCGGATATCGTTATATCTGAGATGCAACCAGTTTGAAAACAAGAGTGGGGACTGTAGAAACATCATCTTCATAAGCTTTATATGATTAGTGTATTATGTTTGTCTTGTAAGTATTGCATTTTGTGATCACATCTTGTTATTTCAGGCTATAGAAACAGATAACGGGTTTCCAAACACCAAGTATTGTATATTGATGTTGATGCACGCAGATATGGACCAGCAAGAAGGCCTCGATACACAAGATTCTAAATGTATTGAGGAGATATGGTAATTTATTTTTGTTTCTATTTGAAGACAGTATCTTAATTTTCTTCTTAATTCATTTCAAATCATTTGGCATTATTATGTGATTGATGGCACACATTGTTTTGTAACTTTGATCACACTTTACTTATTGTTCTCCTTTACTTACTTTACCAGCACTTTGCCTCATCACTCTTTAACCTCACCTCATCATCACACCTCATCTTACCTAGCCTTACCTATCAAATGGTAATTGTGGAAAGTTTCTCTTTGAGTGTGCTCTTTGGAAATTGCTTACAATTGTATTATATCAGTCAAATTTTTAACTATACATGTATATTGACTGCAATTAGTTGTGAGTAATTTCACAGCCCTGAATCGCGTTTAAGTTCCCTTGTAATCCAACCTTTTGTCCCAATGCTCAACTAGGAAGGGTTTTGAATCACACTGCAGTGGACTTTTATCCCACCTGGCATTGAAATTATTTGCTTAAACATGCTATCCACCTAGCTTCAGGAAGGATAATAATTATTATTCTATGCAGGCAATCCAGCATTTGCCTAAATAATACAAAAATTGAAAACTTAGGTCTTCCTGCAATATTAGATACAGGAAAGTTGTCATATGACCTTAAATATTATCTCTTGGCCTTTAAAATGTGACAAACTTTGGAATCTTTCTTTTATGAAGGTAGCCAATAGAAGGTTTTGCCCATGAGGTCTTCTTCTACCAGTAAAGTCTGAAAATTGCCAAATGACCTTGACAGCGTCAGCTTCCCTAAAAATCCAATGAAAAAAATAAATAAAAATTTGGCGTGATTTTATATATATAGTGTGTATATGTAATTAGTTTAAGTTTTATTGTTTTTTTTTTCCCATTCTGCCAGTGAGATATGGGGACTGACAGAGTACATGAAGAAAGTGAGGATGGAAAGAAAGAAAAGACAAGAGGAAGTGGACAGATATCTCGGCATCAAAAAACGAAAGTTAGAGGATGGTACAAGCCTCATAGAAATGCCTATACGATTTATAAAGTGAGACATTGATAGTGTTTATACATTTTTTAGATAGATTATTATTGGCTGATACCGGTATTTAAGTTTGTATAATGTTTTAAAGCAGCATGCCTCAGGATTCATGCTAATTTTCATAAAAATTTTGAAATGTATTTAAATGTGAAATATTGTGAAGTAACCAAAAGGAAACAATTTACACATTATTGATGGCAACCCACTTAAACTACCAAAAAGATGTCAAGATAGCCAATAATGCAGTAGAAATATAGTTATAAATACTGAAAAATCAGTCATTAATCACTAATTACATTTAAATTATTACTTGAATCTTGAATCTTTTTTACTTTTCTTAAAATCTTAATAGATCTACATTTTTCTCAAACTTGATTTTATTGAAATATTTTGGCTCATCTGGAGGCATGCAGCTTTAAATAATGAAATTTATAAAAAAAATTATTGCATGAGTGTGCTATTTCTAATTGGTTGAATGTTTCATGTTGAGATTTAAACATTATGCAATCAATGAATATGGTACAGTCTATCGCAATAGCACATTTATGTTTTTTCCTTCTATATAATTTCTGTGAACAAAGCCATAGGAACGGTTTTTCCTTATGAATGTTTTTCCTTATGAATCGTAAACTTAGTGCAAAAAAACTGCATTAACAGGTTGTCTCCTATTAAATTATATAAGGGGTTAACCTGTTCCTGCATTAAGGTGACAGAATAGGCTATTCACCTATATGTTTAGATGTTGTAATAACGGGCATATGAAAATACAAAATCTTTATCTATTTTAAAGAACAACCAAAGAAATACAGTTATAAACAGTGTATGTACGCATTTTATCCATTGAAAATTACGTTATTTTTATCATAAAACTTCGAGGTATTCTAAAAGTTTTATTTATCTTACAGAAAAGATTACCCTGTTGGTGTAAGCCCAAAGTTGAAGCTCTATGAATGGACAAAGAGAAATAAAGTTGATCTACCTCAATATATAACTGTAAGTGTCTGGAAGTAACGGACCTCCGTGATTACCTCCCTTTGCTTAAGATTTTAAAATTTTGTGATCTTTGTTGACCACCTCCACTGCTTTTGTCCTAGAAATTTCATATTGTTAATTTATGAAGAGCAACATGATTCTTAATTCTTACTAATGATTATACTAAAGATCGGTTTTCAAATAGAAGGGAGATAATTTTTTGAATAAACTTTTTAATGTAAGCTCCGTTATGAGGCAAGTTTCAAGTACATGTACATGTAACATACATGCAGCTAAAATTAAAATCTAATTTTCAATCAGCTTCCTAAAACTTACCTATACTGGTGTTAATGAGATATGATGGTGGTGACAGAAGTTTTGACTCAAACCTAAAATCTCAAGGTTGAAAGACAGACCTTTAACTATTAGGCAACCACTCACCTTATGAGATAATTGTTTGTATTTAAGAATAAGTGTCGGTTGGGACTGTGAATCAAGACCACCCAGGTTTGATTTGCTGATGGTGTAGGTCACTTTCGTTGTGATTGATCTTAAAAATGTGTGTGACAACAATTAAATTTTTACATGTGGAAATGATTTTCTGGTTACATTTCAACTCATTGTGTTAGCGGCAGTAAAAGAGACCTGTGCCAGCATTATAGAGCTCAGCCAGTCTGCATTTCTGTGAAGTCAAACAGTCTGTACATTTTTTAGTACATTTACTCATATGGACAGGTCCAAATTCAAAGCAGGATAAGTCTATTACACAAACGCAGTATGGTGAAGGGTTAATATACTGATATCTATATTTGCAGACGGAGAGAACAGACGATAGGTGCTTCAAATGCGTGATGGAACTAGATGGGTCAAAGTTCACCTCCTCTATGTGGTAATTGCGATGGGTTTGAATTTCTTGAAAATTTAAGTTGTGAAATTGATTGATTGTCCACATGCTAGACAAATGAAATAATAATCAAGACCTTTGAATGGTATATTGGTAGGATATATAATGTTTTTTGAGGCAGATGTTAAAGGTTTTGATCATAATCGCAAAAGACCGAGATAACCGCAACCAAACATCTAAATGTCAAAAAGTGATAATGTACTGTGCTATTCATCAAACAGGGCCTGATTGTTTTAATTCTAAAATACTTGCAGGAAATGAATAGCTTTAAATATCACACTTATGTTTACAGAGTTTGTTATTGGCTTGATGTCATAACTGACATAATAAATATTACTTTAATCATATTTTATTGCGCTAGACATAGAACTCGTGGGGTTGTTTTTTTTTGCCTTCTTTACTGAAGAGAAACATTTCAATTTATTTTGTCCCTCGTTGCTGACAGTTCATATTTGCCAAGGATGTTAAATTTTTGCACAAGAAGGGGTTATTCAGGCAGATTACAGACAATTTGGCAATTTGTCAGAGATTAGTGGTTTAGCCAAGATAGCCCCTTCAGTCTGAAATTATGCACAAAATTATTCTTTAATTATAAAAATATCTGCTGTGGGTTTTGAATCCTTCAGTAAGTTGCGAGTCTTTATTATGAGTAGGCCAGGCAGCTGTCTTGAACAAGGTTTGATGGTTCTACTCTTGCATGAAATAATTTGCATGAACAGAAATAATTAACATTAACAGATGGGCAATCCAGGTCTTCCTTTAGCAGTTGAGCTGAAAAGTCACAAAATTACCTCTTCAGTGAAGGTGTGACTTCAAAGGCAACTAAACAAGTATCACCTTCTCAGTCAAATCATCTTGACCTGGTCAAGTTGATCATACAAAAAATATTACAAAAAAAAAAAAATAATAAGCCAGCATGTTCTTCCATCTTTTCATTTAAAAAAGATGATGAAGGACATCTGTTAATCTCTGGAATTTAGATCTATCCTAAAATGAATGTGCAAGGTCTCTTGCCGTTGTTCTGTATATTTATTTTCTACTTTTTGTTTTTCAGGGAAAAATCCAAGCAGTTAGCAGAGCAAGCTTCAGCCATTGTTGGACTGATTGTTATAGGAGAGGATGATGGGAGAAAACCTGAGAGTGACAGCCCAAATGATGATGTCATCAAAGTTTGGAGAGAGGAATTCCATATATCTCATGATACTATTTATAGACACAAATCTAAGAATTCTGGGAAGGGAGATGAGGAATTCTCAAAATCTAAAAATAGAAATACAGATGAAATTTCCTCAGGAATTAACGGTGTTCACTGTGTTGAACAAAATAATGATAAAGGTGATAGTAATGCAATAAAAGTAACCAATAACTCTGTCGGACATGATGACGATAAAGAAGTAAATGATGTGATATCTGAACCAGGAATGTTGAAAAATTCAGGTAACAGCTGACAATATTGTACCAGGATCCGAATTGAGCAGATGATAGGTTCAATAGAAACTTATATGTCAACAATTTGTTTATTACTGTAATTGGATATGGTATATATAGTATTGACTTGAATACCAAACATGGACTATATGATAAGTGTACTTCGTATACAATTACCGTTGTACGTTTATTGTATAACACAGTTTTTTATGACTTATCTAATCCTCAAACTATGGATTTCTTATAATAGATTGGTCCTGCTTTGAATTTTGAACAATGCCTTTGATGTTTAAGGGAATTTTTTTTTATTAAGATACAAAAAATATTCTACCAACAGTGTAGAGCATGGTCTGAATGCATAGATGTGCAGGCTGACCTGGCTCTTTACTGGTGACATAGGCTAATCGCTTCCAGTCCGAGCATGTTGAGTGTTCAATCTGACTTGATTACCATTTAGTAGATTGTTATCTTGTCTGTTTTGAAGAAAAAGTTAAGGTATTATGATTTCTATGGAGTCTTGTGGTCGTGGTGCAAAAACTATAATGCAGCCCATTATTTAAACATTTTAAAAGTTATCAACATAAAACTTTGAAGACTTGCTTATCATGACAAGGGGCAAAATTATGAAAACAATATTTTTGATCTTGTGCCCTTTTTTAACAGACTAGCATTGTTTGAATTTGAAATGAAACACATACTGTATTAATAGAGTGTAGCTCATACTGTTAGAGTCTGGTACAAACATGTGATACGTTTTATAGTGCCTACTTTTGATGAACTTTATGTAAAACATCTAGTCTTCCCATATACTGTTTATATCACAATCTTTTATTTGATTAAAGCACTGTTGACTATGAATTAATGGTTTTTATTTATTTTTGGGGTTTTAATGTTTTTTAAAACAAAATTGTAAAATGGTGACAACTAGTATTTTCGCCATGGGTTTTCCTCTGTCTTCATTCTTAAAGCTCTTTAGAGAAATTCTCTTCGAATTCTGTATTAAAATGTAAAATTGGAAGTCATTTAGAAAAGGGGAGGTAACTTAGAAAAGTTTAGATAGTTATGTCCTATTTGTTAAAAGATATTTTCATTGTCAATTATATGTGCAGGTTCATAAAACATAAAATAGGACCAATGTCGTAAAATTCAATATTATGTTAAATGAGCTCCACTGAGGTGAAAAAGCCTAAAAACATAAAACTTGAAATTCTTACATAGATCAAGTTAAGCACTTAAAGGGACTCCACTTTGTTTAAATGCCTAAAAACATAACATTTGAATTTCTTACATAAATGAGCTTGGGCACTTTAAACAGAAACATATGCACAGATAGAAATATACTTTGAAATAAATTGAAAATCATATTTTTTTTGCTTTTCTGAGCCAGTTTTGAGTTATAATTGTTTAAACGTTTTTTTTATTTTGGGTCATTTTTTACAGTTTGAATAATTATTCTGGAAAAACGAAGTGCACAAATGATCTGAAATTTTGCACAAAGATTAGTGGTCTAAACCTACATCAAATGGTACATTTATCTGGACAATATTTCAGTCCCATCATGTCAAAAAACCTCAGGGAAGTCCCTTTAAAATGTAATAATCTGCAAAGGATAATAAGAAAAAGAAATAAATTATACTCGTGAGTAAACTGAATATCTATATTCGTGCAATTCTTTGCACAATTTGAGCGAAAAGCGTTGCAACACTTCATTTTTTTTATCATTTTACACAATAAAAATGATTATTCTGGCAAAAATGAATTACAGAATGATCTGCAATTTTGCACACATGTAATTGGTGCAGACCTACATCAAATGGTTTATAAATCTTTCCAGCCCAACCTCAGTGGAGTCCCTTTAAGTGTTAGGTCAAGCTCCATTTCAAACATGGAACTTGGAGATATGGAGCACTCTAACTTAAATTCAGCTCTTGTAACTTAAAGTGGCCTTCAACTTTTTTCAATTTTTTGTCGGAAAAAAAAAAATTTTGTGTTGTTTCAAAGTCGGTATTTCAGTAATTTTATCTTGGAAAATTGCATCATATCACTCTTAGATTTTTTTTCAAAACTATGTCCCGAGAGCTAGTGACTTTCGTTTCTAAAAAATAGAAGATTGGGAAATGAATCATCTGCTATACTTATTTAAGTATAGGGAGTGTACTGGTAAATTAAAGGTATAGAGGGATTTCCTTATTGTATATGTATTTCATCAATGTCAAATTTCATTTTCCACCATGATTCTTTTGATTTGATATGAAACAATTTATGTAAAAATAACATATTTAACCTTAATAAAATCTGAAGGCCACTTTAAAGTGATTTTTAAGGATGTTGATATATGTTTTTAATTTGATGCAAATAATAAGTCTAGGTAATATTTTTAACCCTATACATTTTAGTTTCTGTTTTTAAAACCATGCAAATACTATATTAAAACACTGAAATAAAATAAAACATGAAATCATCAGGTGTAATAGTTATATTTTAATTTCTGTTTCTATTTCATATATGAAATATGATGAAATTTTATTCTAAAAACAGAAAATTGATTGTGTTTAAAGCTAAACTTCTTTTTCTTTTTTGATCTGATTGGAAAAAAGTACTCTGACCGTCTCCAGACTGTCCTAGTAGATTAAAAGTCATACAAGGGTATATAGTGAGTGAACAGGTGAAAGTCAAAATAAATTTTCATTTTGCCATAATTATACCCCCGCACAACAAAGTTGTAAGGGGGGTATACTGGAATCAGCTTGTCCGTCCGGCCATCCGGCTGTCCATCGGTTTTTTCTTGTCCGCCCAATAACTTACGATTCTTTTGACCCTTAGTCTTCATATTTGGCATGGAGGTTAGTCATGATTAGTAGATGACCCCTATTGATTTTGAGGTCAAAGGTCAAGGTCACAGGGGCCTTGACTTCAAAAGCTTGTCCGCCCAATAACTTAAGATTCCTTTGACCCACAGTCTTCATATTTGGCATGGAGGTTAGTCATGATTAGTAGATGACCCCTATTGACTTTGAGGTCACCAGGTCAAAGGTCAAGGTCACAGGGACATCAAAAAGTTTGTCTGCCCAATAACTTTAGATTCCTTTGACCCACAGTCTTCATATTTGGCATGGAGGTTAGTCATGATTAGTAGATGACCCCTATTGGCTTTGAGGTCACCAGGTCAAGGTCATAGGGACTTTGACTTCAAAAAGCTTGTCCGCCCAATAACTTATGATTCCTTTGACCCACAGTCGTCATATTTGGCATGGAGGTTAGTCATGATTAGTAGATGACCCCTATTGACTTTGAGGTCACCAGGTCAAAGGTCAAGGTCACAGGGGCCTTGACTTCAAAAAGCTTGTCCGCCCAATAACTTAAGATTCCTTTGACCCACAGTCTTCATATTTGGCATGGAGGTTAGTCATGATTAGTAGATGACCCCTATTGACTTTGAGGTCACCAGGTCAAAGGTCAAGGTCACAGGGACATCAAAAAGTTTGTCTGCCCAATAACTTTAGATTCCTTTGACCCACAGTCTTCATATTTGGCATGGATGTTGATCATGATTAGTAGATGACCCCTTTTGATTTTGAGATCACTGGATCAAAGGTCAAGGTCATAGGGACTTTGACTTCAAAAAGTTTGTCCACCCATTAACTTAAGATTCCTTTGACCCACAGTCTTCATATTTGGCATGGATGTTGATCATGACTATAAGGTGACCCCTATTGATTTTGAGGTCACTGGGTCAAAGGTCAAGGTCACCTTGACAAAAAAAAAGCTTTTCTTCTCAATTGCTAAAGAATGTCCTGTCCGCAATGTATTGATTTTGACATTTTTACATTTGAAGCATGTAGAATACATAACTTAGCAATGCACTGGCTTAGTAACCTCAGATTTGGCAGGGAGGTTGTCCTTGAGCTCTAAATGGCCACTGTTGATTCTGACAAAGTGGTATGCGGGGGTATTCACGCCATGATAGTGGCAGTTCTAGTTCCTTTCAATTTAATAATTTACTTCTTGTAAATAATAAATATTTCACATGGCGCAATGAAATTTCTGTAAATATCCATTGTAAATTGGGCTGTTACGTGTACTTTATAAAAAGAGCATGGCAGTCTTTATATTTGTGGTAAATTTATATTTAATCATCAACATTTTCCAATATCAACTGTTGGTCAATCACCATTTTAACAGTCAACTTGAAAAGTCTTTAGAAATTTTGTTGACAGGATCCCGTATTGTTGAGAAAAAAATGGCAAATACTACCAATATGTCAGTCTGACATGTAAGCAAAGTGGCAAAAACAAAAGAAGTTGGATTTAAGTCTTTAAGAACTTGTCTTCATTAGCAAAAGGCAAGATTGGAGTCATATTTTAACTTTCTAGTAATATCTTAAAATCTGATTGTTGAAAAAAGATAATATTCTTAGGTCTTTTTGTACACAGGTTAGGATTTTAGAACAGATATTTGACTTTATGACAGATGTGACTTCAGGACAAATTAAGAATTGAGTACAAAGGTGGGACTTAAGAACATAGGTGTTGCTTTATTACAGAGATTAGAGGTTAGTGCAAAGATGGGATTGTAGAAGAGAGGCAGAGCTTTATTACAGAGTTGATGCTTAGTACAGAGATTAAACATTGTACAGAGGTAGGACTGTAGTACATTATTAGGTGGAGCTTTATTACAGAAATTGGAGTGAAGTACAGAGGTTAAACATTGTACAGAGGTAGGACTGTAGTACATTATGAGGTGGAGCTTTATTACAGAGATTGGAGTGAAGTACAGAGGTGGGACTTTACAACAGAGACAGAGCTTTATTACAGAGATAGTAGCTTAATACAGAGATTGGATTGTAGAACAGAGTAGGGACTTTATTACAGAGGTGCAGTTTCATCACAGGGATTGTTGCTAAGTACAGAGATTAAACATAGTACAGAAATGGGACTGTAGTACAGAGGTCATTAGTACAAATGTCAGACTTTAGTACAGGGTTGGGGCTTTAGTAAAAAGGAGGCACTGTAGTACTGTTTCATGTTTTTATATTGATGAGAAAAACAACATATATAAAGCACCAAAGATGTTAAATTTACAAATTTGAGTCTGTTATTTTTACAGTAAGATTGATAGCTGCAATGCAGTATCAAATTTAGTCCTGTTTTTCTTTTCCGTAAACAGATATTTTTTGGATCATTAAAGTCACTAAATTGGTGTAACAAATCTGTTTTCATTTACATGTGTTTGCTGATTTAACACAACAGTGTAGTTATTATTTGTAATTGATAGTGTTACAAATAACTTTTTTTTGTATTGTTATGTTAATATATATGCAATTACTGTATCAGGAAGTGAGGTATCTTAAAATATTTAAGTTAAAATAAGTGAACATTTCTTCTACTTAATTGTGAACCTTTAAATCCACACAAATCAGATGTTCAATTTCAAAAATAGCTGTTTCTTTATGTGTTAGTATTAAATTTTAATTTATGAGATAGTGAAAGATTGTCAACACATTTACATTCTAATTTGATAAAAAGAAATTAATTTCAGATACATGTGATTATGTTAAAGAAATATTTCTTTATTCGTCAATTTGTATGTTGTTTTATCTTCAAAGAGTTATTTTAGGATATGGTATAATGGTTGGTTGATACAGAATTTATTTTAGTTCGATTGTGTAGGAAGCTATAAGCTTATAAACACACTTTCGAATCCGTTCCTGGAACCAACCAGTACTGAGCAATGAGTGTAAAGTTTCTTGCTCAATGAAACAACGACTTGCCCCTGACGGGGATTGAACCCATACGGCTAGCGATCATTAGATTACTAGTCCGACGCGTTAACCACTCGTCAGACTAGTAATCTAATGATCGCTAGCCGTATGGTATAATGGTTAATGGTGGTGTAGGAAGTTTACCCTCCTGATCATGGCAGTAAGCCACATTGAATGTACTAGAACACAGTTCAGCCATCACATTGTTCTTGGGTAAGCTGTCAAGCCGTTTACCAGTACTAGTTGCCGACATTTTCGCAAGGAACTGATAACTTCTGTACATGCCCTAGCAGAGGAACAGTACAAATGACCGTAGAAAGGATTTCATGATCAATCACCGAATCAAACCTGAGTCGCCTGATATACAGTCCAACACACTACCTATTGAGCTGACAATTTAGCTGTGTTTCCATTTCCAGAGTACAAAACACAGCTGGTACCCAGCTGCAAGTCCTATATTAGACTCCGCTAGCACCTCGTCCAATATAGGTCCGAAAGCTGTGTACTTGTCCAATAGAAGTCAGTATTGTACTCAAAAATCAATTGTATAATATAGAGGATATTTGTTTAGTTCAGTGTAAGATTGGAATATATTTCACCGAGTGAGCACCAAAAAGTATATTTCACGAGTGGCGCAGCCACGAGTGAAATATGAACTTTTGGTGTTCACAAGGTGAAATATATTTCGATCTTACACTAAACTAAACAAATTTTCTTTTTATTATATGCAAAGAAACATTTTAAAAAGACATTAAACCTAATACTGAATGAAAAGCGCGCCAAATAATAATACAACGTGACGTCATTTACGGCGCTTTAATTCAAAACAGTGAAATTATCAAAGTGGTAATTTCACTGTTTCAAACATTGGAATTACCAGTTTTTATATCACTGATATATTTCTATAAACCACCGAAAAGCATGTAATAAAACCTCATAATATATCACTTATTATGTATATATGTATCATTCATTCTACCAGTATATAACTTACTGTATATTTCTCGACCTTTATTATTTTATTCAACCATAGTATTTTTTGATATGAAAGTTCAGAAGAAAAATGTAACAAACAACAAACTTTCTCAGTTTAACATTTTTTATTGTTTCAAAAACTTATAACATGATTTTTAAATCAAAAATACCTAATATATATTGTATATGAATATATAGTACATGTATATAAAATAACCAAAGTCAATACTGTAGGATGATATTATGTGATTGTATATATTAATAAGTAATACAATAAATTATCCCTCTTATTTAACAACAAAATTCGTACCGTAAAACCTGTAAAATTTAGCTGACATTTAATTTCATGAGAAAGTTTTAACAAAAGGGTTAACAGTTTGATGGATACAAAATATACCAGAACCAGTGAATATAAATGACATGAGTGTGCTATTCTTATAAGTTGTATTGTGTATTCAACTGCATACACATTAACTAATAATCAACAAGTGATAAAATCCACAAGAATAGCACACATATGTGTATTTTTCCTTTCATATATATATTAGTTTTTCCTTTCTGAATAAGCTACATACCATATTATTATTTATTTGTAATATAAATCCATGATGTAACAACTTCAGAGCAAATACAGAATAAAACTGTATGGAGATATATAGTTCTTCAGCAAAAAATAACCATATTATCAAGTAAAAACTTTGAGGTATATAATAAAAGTATATGTATTAGTATAAATTTAAAATCTAACTACATGTATTCTGATTGGTTCGGATATGGTGATTTATTTCTAAAACTTACATCCATCTTAATGTATGTTTTAATTTTTGTATGAGGTGTACTAAAGTTAATCCACTAAAAAATGAATGATTTTACAGCAGTAATGAATGCTAATTGATATGTAATTAAAATTATCTAAACTTAACACTTTTATCACATTTTCTACATCACTGGAGTAAAGTAAAGGTATTTGATATTTAAAAAGCACATAAGTAAAATAAAACTTCAGATTAGAGTATGAAAAGTTGAAACTTTCAAACTTTTATCCCAAAATATGATCAACTTTACATATTTCCACGCAGATATTGTATAATGAAAATGTTTCAAAAGTTATCATACATGTGAACTCCCCCACTTTAAGCGGGAGACTCCCACTTTCTGCAGTCATATTTTTCAAAGATTTTTCTTACAATAAGGGGTATTTTCACAAATTAAAGAAATCTCCCTCTTTCTGATGCCAAGACTTTCTTCTTTGTTTATTGCTAATTCTAAAATCTCCCTCTTTTTTAAGAAAAATCTCCTACTTGATCATCAAAAAAAGTTCACATGTATGAGTTATAAAGAAATTATCTTATTCAAACTCAGATCTCTGGCATTTGATTGGTCACAAACTGTTCACTGACCAATGAAAATCCTGAGATTTGACACAGAACACAGAAAAAGTTTTAAAAAGTTTTATAACCTTGATCGAGACCAGATTATAGATTGGGTGAGCACAAAAATACAATTTTCAATTTATTTCTGAGTATATTTCTTAATTTCCTTTTCCAAATCTTTCTGTTTTAAATGCCCAGCTGATCTATGGAAGATATAAATTTTTTTATGTTTTTCAGCTTCTGAACTCTGGGGTTACTTAAATAGTAACTTTCTTTTTATTATTGTTAATATTGAAATTATTATTATTGTTATTGTAATCACCATTATTTTTTTATTATTATAATTGTTGTTGTTGTTGTTGTTGCTATTATTATTGTTGTTGTTGTTGTTGTCATAATTATCAATATAAAGAATAATATGATAATAATAATATTTGTATATTATAACACAAAGGTAGTGCATATATCTTGTGTAATATTTTCTATCTAACATACATGTACATGGCAATAGGGACTAGTTTTTTTGTACAGGAGATCTACAATATTAAAATGCATTTACAAATAAGATATGCCAAAAACTATTAATCTGTCTAAAAATTCAGTTAATATGTAAGAATATTTTTGTGTAAGAACTGGCTAAATTTTTGTTATTTTTTTACATTAGAAAATAAAAATTACTCGTAAAGCATGCAAGACTGTTCCCATGTCCCATATTTGTTACAATATTTGAAATTTATTGTAAAATTTCATTAAAAAAATTGAAGGGGTCAAGGTCATTAAGAATCGAGGTCATTTAGGAGTCGATGTCACTAAAGTTGACTGTCGAGTTCATTTGGTGTAAAAGTCATATTCCAGAGGTATATTTTGAAAAAAAAAGGTATGAAGGCTCTGACTTATTTACATAAAATATTTGTTAAAATATTGTCTGCTATAGAGGTGGATGACAAGATAAAAAGAATGTACCCCATATCTTCATGTGGGGTATAAATTCACTTTTCCTGATGATGACAAAAATATACAATATTCCTGTTAATATCAATGCTAAACAATATTCCTGTTGATATTAATACAAAAGTCTCTTAATATCAAGTGTATAAAATATTTTCCACTGGATATCAAGGCTATACAATATTTTCTCTTTGATATAAATAGAATATTCCCTTGATATCAATGCTATAAATATTTCCCTTGGATATCAATACATTAATTTCTCTTGAAATCATGTTATAAAAACTTAATTTGATATCGATAGAATATTCCCTTGATATCAAGGTTTTGCAATATTCATCCTTGATATAAATACAATAATTCCTCTTGCCAATAAGGCTAAATATATTCCTCTTGGCACAATTTGGCACAATTGACCTAACCAACAAAATAAATCTTGAAACAAGACTCTTCTTTGAATTATAATTAATAAATTTCTAAAGTTTATGAGAAAACTGCAAATATATGAGTTTATTTAGTAACTTATACTACTGTATGCATCAAGTAATGGAAGTGAATTGGGGAAAATGCCACTTTAAAAATGATATTAGTGACAATAGAGTTATTAATGATAATAAGTTTTAATGTCCCCAGCTGTTCATCAAAGTGAAGTATAATTTCTGATTAATTGAACTATTATTTTTGTAATTTATAGTTGATCATATACGCTGTGACATGCCAAGAGAGTCTGACATGTTTTCCTCAAATTAGAATGCATCATTATGTAATGTCGTTGGACTTGTCACAGTGCTACAATTTGATTGGCTGTCATTTTTAGTGATATTCATTTCAGTTAACCAATAAGAACGCTGCATTTTTAATGTAAATTTGTATTATTTTTTTTTTAGTTTCTCATGGTTATATTTATGTTTATCAAATTATCAAAATAAATCATTGACAGAAAATAGGTACAAATTAAACTGATACTATAAATTACCGAATAATTTCAATTCCATTTTTAGAGAAAAGAATTTTCTTTTGATTCCATAAATCTTGCTACATATTTGAACAGTGTACTTTGAAAGCAAATAAAACCATTAATTTTAATCTAAACTTCACACCATCTTCTGGGATTTATTAAAGTTTGATTTCCCTTCCAAGATTAATTTAACAATTTCTTAGCTCTAACAAAAATAGCATTCATGATAAGTCCTACATCAGAAAATGTGTTAGAATCGCAAGCATATACATGTAGATATGATTTGATTGCACGTTTTATTCTGTTCTACACTCACTGCACAATAGGATCTACCAAGGTAAAATAATGTGTCCGAGCTTCAGCTGCCCGGAAATGATCCGTGTCCGAGAGTTGGAAGATGTACTGAGTGGCACGCGACCTGCGCGTGCCTAGGTCAACACCACTGAGTGGATTTTCAAGTCCAAGTTTATGACAAATTGCGTTACACGCGTGATTTGACAATACTGTTTCCATACCAACCACACCGAGGTCTGTCATCCCGAACCTACCGTCAACTGAATGTATACAAGGGTCAGTGAGTACATATTTGCGTCCATTTTGAACACCCTGTAAGTCGCAGACGAGAAATTTATGTCCACTTACGGACCATGTCCAGTGACTAAACGCGTTTAAAACGGCGGCCGTTTCATCCTCATAGCCTCCGTTTGAATTGAATTTCTCAAATTCTCCATGTAAAAAGGGTTCAATAGCTACATATTCACAGGGTTCCACGTACGTCTTGTCCTCGTTCACCGGAAACAGGCCTAGCACTTTGAAATGCGATAGAGTGTCCATTTTGGCTACTAACGGAACTACAAACTCTATCTCCTGTGTTGTAACGTAGTTTCTTAGAAGAGGCAAAACGTTTGATGAGAAAATTGCGGCAAATTTCTGAGCTTTCGAGCTTGCCGCTAAATCTGGTCGCCATTTATCGAAATATTTGGCATATTTTTTCTTGAAGACTTTTGTTACGCACAGACTGCCGTCCCTGGGTCCCTCCCCGTGCACAGTACCGCGAAAAGCATAGCGGTAAGTACCTTTAGCAAAATAATCATTATCAAAGTCCGCCCAGTACCTGTAATACATAAAAAAATAATGTAATGATTTACAAAAAATGAAAAAAAAATTTCCTTTTTAGACACATATCATATCATATGTTTTTAAAACTCTGAAAGGGAAAAAATGGACCATACACAGTTCATATGTCAACAAAACCAACAAGTTATCTGAAAGGTTGGCATTACTTTTTATGAGTTACGACCGCAATAATTGAATGCTATCCTTCCTAACAAAGGCAAGACGAAGTTGTAGATTGCTTTGTGTGATGTAATTTTTACTCATATTGCTTTATAACAATGTTCAATTCTGAGACAATCAACATTAATAAGTATATCGAACCTGCAACCATCGATGTGGTCTTTGGTCGATGACGGGTGAGTTTCGTGTGATTGCTCAACACCCATCTGCCGTCCAGAAATAGATGTACTAGTTAGTCAGAAATTCCGGAAAAGATGCCTACAGTTTCTGAATATCACAGCAAATGCCAAGTTAGCCTGTAAAATTAAAGCGTTAAATATGTGTGTAAAATTAGTCTTTTATGCAAATAAAATAAAATGTTAAGGTAAATGTAGACACACAGATCCTAAAAGACTAGATATAATTATATATAATTAAGATGCCCTGTTACAATATATAACTTAGTTTTCAGCTTCCTTTACAAGTTGTCGTCTGCTTAAAGACCATTCGCCGATGTAAGCGGCCAATTAGACACGTGCGTAAGAACCGCATATTCTCTTCCGGGAGATCGTTATCTTCTTTTCAAAGAAACCTTTACAAAAATGTTCAATTGCCTCATTTAATATTCAAAAAAATCTTTATTTATTTGACATGCATTATCACCCTGCTTATAACTTTATTGATCTATACATAAGTGTTACTTCACAGAAAAATAGTAATTGGAATGTCAACTAACTTCATTTTATACCAGCATGAACTATTAAAGGCTCATTATGCCTCAGAAATTCTATCATTTATTATTTATAATTTTTATTTCTCAAAAACTTTTCTATTTTTGATATCTTTTTACAGTTTTCATAAACATGCTTAATTGCCGTATACATAAACAATATTTTGCATATTTAGCTCTGTTGGCAATTGGTTTAATTATAGTGCATTAGTATTTTGTATGGAAGTCAAAATACATCTTTGTTTACATTTTGCAACCTTTACGACATATTACTGCACATTTAGCACTACTTTCTTCAGGTTTGAAACATCTAACATGCACATTATCCGTTATCAAAACACTATTTAACAAAAGTTTGACATTTCTAAAGAAAAAGAAAAAAATATAAACTTCTGAAGCATAATATTCCTTTAATAACAATTATATAAACTTATATTTGTCAACATTAATTTACTTTACATTTTCAAAATGGAAATATATCTAATTCCATGAATTCGTCTGCATACACAAAAAAATATATTTGAAATGTGTATTTTACAAATTTATATTTTACTGATGTGTATATTCAATTTCAATCAAAATAAATAAAGAAGTCAACTCTTTCTAAAAAAGAAATGTAATTATTATTTTTTAAAAAAGTGTGTATTGTTGAACATGTTACCAGAACTTGAAAACAAATATTCTTTTTATTTCAAACCATTTTTATATGCAAATGAAATGATTTCGGTAAATGTTTCGCATAAGAACAGAATCAAATACCGTACATGTGCAAAAAAAGAGTAATTGTTTTATTCCTGTACTCTGAAACCATCGTGAAAACAACAATAAATAAATAAATAATAAAATACTTTAAAAAATCACGTAAAATTTATATAGTACTCTCCATTGACCACCTCAAAAAAATAACACCAAACATTTTTGCAGTACAAATGTATCCAGTGAACTTACAAGTCACAAGTACTTCCGGTACAAGTATATAATTTCTAGACCAAAGAATAATGATCTATAAAAAAGCAGTTTTTTTAATTCACTATAAATTCATAATGGCTAAGAGATCCATAAGAGACCCACAATTCGTTTAATGAACTGATTAAAAATAGAAAATTAGAGTTCATATCAGTTGTTCTAAATGTAGGCCGAAAATCACCCGAACAATGGTCTGTGCACCAAATGTCCCGAGTCTTTCACAAGTACGTATAGACAGGATAGCCCTTTTTAAAAAGTAATCATCGAAAATAGATCTTCAAACGTTTTATACAATGGAATGTAAATAATGCCTGAATAATGTTTATTTATCTGCGTTGACTGCCATTGAACGCTGACAAATTTTGTAGATTTTTTTATTATCCCAATTATTAAACTCGTATTTGCCTAAGCCATTGTCATGGTCATGTGATGGTGGTTGTTGTCACATGTTTGAAAGATCGCCTGACGATTTTATGCATAGGAATGACATTGTCTTTTAACCCCCCACCCCCAAAAAAGCAACAACAAAAAACAACAAAAAACGAATTACACTCTATCATTTGGCGTTGTATGGTGGTAAACTTTTTTTTCGCGCGCTCTGGCTCGAATCTCTGGCTTTCCAGTGGACCTCAATGTACATTGTTGTTATTTTGTTGTTATAGTTTTGTAAAGGAGCATATCTTTATAACCTGACTTCGTATTTTTTCAGCATTACCTTCGATTTTCAAGCAATATTTAAACATGTATTAATACTTCGTTTCAACGACATACGTTTAATATTTTCTATAGCCTTTTAATACTTAACAAAGGATCCATTTTGTTAAATAAAATAAATATTAAAGTAGGGTTGAGAAAGTATAATATTTTTTATGCAACGACAAAGGGCCTATATTTTTCTATTTTCTACGTCTTATGGGTAAATAAAAAAGCAGTGGTGGAATTTTGAATTCTTTTAAAAAAATTACACACATTAATGACAGTAAAATATTGTAAACAACATCGGTTGGTGCAACATGGAAAATAACATCTGCCACCAACCACGGCCATGTCAATATAGAAAAACAAAACAGCACCGTTCTGTTGACTTATTATATTATTGAAATATATTGGACAGTCCCATGGGTGCATTACTGAAAATAATATCAGCCAAAAAACCGCATTGGACTGACCAATATTTAGAACTACAGCGACCGGTCAAGTTTTGCATCAGTTGAATATCGGTTCTAAAAATAGCTTTTTACTTCCGACAAACATTTATTTTAAATGAAATAAATTAGAATAATGAAATAACATTTATTATTGATAAAGGATCAAGTAATGTAGGTCTTAGAACAAACACTTCTTTGTAATCAATAAATACGCTTACAACATGGATAAATATGAAACGATTTAACAGAATTAAAATATTCTCTGGCATGACTCTGTCAATGAAAGGAAACTATTTTTATTTCATTAAGTCAATTATTCTCAAATAGGATTAACCTCAATTGTTAATCAATAATTAAAAACCTCTAATCTTAATCGTGTCGCTAATAAATAGTTAAAATACCTTATCTCACAGGAATTGATCAGTAATCCAAAATCTTAAGCCTAGAGATTATAACTTCCCTGAAACACTAAAGATTTTTGCTTTTAGAATATAAGTAAGTAAATGCCTACAGACTATATCTACGTACCGGGTATGCGTATCGATCAATAGGTGTACATGACAAGTTTCGAAATTGTTACAAAAATGAGCAACCCGATCCTCCAATGGGTGCCTTCTAAAACAATTTACAAACCCGTCCCTCGGATCATGTTGACATTCTTGAAATGAGCCGCGTCACGACAAAACCAACATAGTGCGTTTGCGACCAGCATGGATCCAGACCAGCCTGCGCATCCGCGCAGTCTGATCAGGATCCATGCTGTTCGCATTAAGAAACACCTATACCAAGTAAGAAGGAAACTGATTACAGAAAGCATGGCCTGATCAACTGCCGCGATTAGCGCAGGCTGGGTCTGGTGCCTGCTGTGTCGCAAAGGTGCTATTTGGTTATTGTGATGACAGGCTCCAATATGAATCAGAATCGCACATTTACTAAAGATTTAATTGCGACATAAAACATTCCATATTGATCATTGTAATTTGATGATGTTACTTGAAGCAGCCAAGTTTATGCGACTTCAAAAGAGTTAAGCTACATGTATATATATTGATCATATATGGTATGTTGGACAACGTTACTTTGATAAATAATGACGACGTTCTAAGAACTTACTGTATCAGCATAAACGTAAATAAGGAAAAGGGACGGGACTTGAAATGTCAAGGGAATTGGGCGCGAGCAGATTGAGGGGGCGGGGCTGGGGCTGCCATGGTGCCTGAGTGTTTTGGTACTTAGGGGCAGGGTAGTGGCGGGCGTCTGCCACGGTGCTTTGATTTGTGTATAAGAATGTTTTGATAGTTTAGGATCTTTTACCCAATATGAATCAGAAATAGACCTTAATACACAGACGATTTAACACTATAACAACAAAAAGTACCCCCAAAAAAGCAAAGCACAAACAATGAAACCCTCTTGTATAAAATAACAGATTTTTTTCGTCATAAAATCGTATCATTTACGCATGTAAATAGCTTAAAGATGCACGTTTTTCACGTGTAGCCGTGTATAAAATTGTACATAAATGTATCATAATTATTGCAGTCAGATAGCTGAGAATTTGGCAAATTCTGTTGAAGCTAAGAAATCTAAATGAATATGAAAATGAATATTTTCGTGCGAGTCGCTCAAAAGGAAACGAATTCACAAATTATAACTTGCTCTTAATATTTAATAAATAATATTTTACACGAGTTAACATTTACAGGAATTATCTTGTTACAATGTCAAAATTCCGTGCTATTACAATTTTCACTAATTTAATTACAAATTTAACATAATTTCATTGTTCACATGATGATGAATTTTTATGTAAATGTTTATTATTCTCATAATAACAACAACTGCCATAGATCTACTTGCAGTTGTCGCAAATCGATTTTTCTCAAAACAAAATCTTATCTTCTTGTACCAACATCCAATCGGTTGTTATTACATGTATTTATTTCTAATATTTACAAAATGAAAAATGTTAATCAACAAAAAGAAGAGAAGAAGAAAATCCAATAATTTTAAAGTAAGTAAGACACCGGAAAAAACCTTACCCGACGTGCGTACTTGTATAATTTAGTGTTTTATAAATAAGATACTTTATTTGTTCATTTTACATCCGTCAACAATTAAAGTTTTTTATGTAACTTATACACACTGTATGTTTTGTTGCGATATAATGCATTTTAATAACACATTTATCAAGATCTACGAGCAAAAACATGCATTTTAGAAACAACACTCTGTTATTCTTACGGATTAGTGATTTATAATATTCTTACATTATTTTGTTTTTATTATGTATAATTAAATAGTTATGGTATCAAATTGTGTTATTGAATATTTTAATGACAGGGTAAAAACCTTTTGTGGTTTTATGTACAAGAATTCAGCTTAAATCGTATCCAGGCTTGGGCTTGAAATAGCCCTATACTTTTATATAAACATTAAATACTGTAGTGAACATTTTTGACAAGAGTTGAAG